CTCTGCACCAAGAGGCCCTGCCTCCATTCTAGGGGCCCGGGGGCAAGTCCCACCCACCCCGCAGCTGGTCCTGGCTTCTGTGGGGGGAGGGCCATCTCGGCCAGGGACCCAGGGCTGCCATCAGCTGTTGGTGGCCTACCGCTTCCAGGCTCTCTGGTGGGCGGATCGGACCTCCCTGTGGCTACAGGACTCAAGTCCCCAGTGTCCTCTGGCTGTCAGCTAGGGACCACCGGCTCCCTGAGGCCCCTGGGCCCTGCCTGTGGTCCCTGCCACACCTCCTGCCTCCAGCCTCTCATGCCGTGAACCTCTCCCCTCGAAGGGCTCAGCCTCTTTTTATTTATTTATTTATACCAGGGATTGAACCCAGGGCCTCTTCTCAAATCCCCAGCCCTTCTTATTTTTTAATTTTGAGACAGAATCTACTAAGTGGCTGAAGCTGGTTTAGAACTTTAGTCCTCCTGCCTCAGCCTCCTGAGCTGCTAGAATTACAGATGCCTGATGGGGCTCAACTGATGAGGTCAGGCCCACCCACGCTCCAAGGAAGAGGCTGTGATGGCTGTGCACACAGGGGGGGGGCAGGGGTCTCTTAGTATCTTGCCCACTGCCCCCTTTGGTGCTTAGGGACCCCTGGAAGAAGTTCGGTTCTCATTTTCCAGATAGATGGGAAACTGAGGGTCAACGGCCACTCAGAGCAGACAGACAAGCAACAACTCGGGGCAGGCTGACGTCTGCAGGGTCCCCCAGCAGAAGTGGGGCAGCAGGCCCACGCCCCCATGGCCCGGCCACCTCCAGAGGCGGGAGGCAGGAGCAGAATGTGGTTCTGCGGAAGGCACAGCCCCCTCACCACTCGAGGGCCAGTCTTGATGGGGAGGGAGCAGAGGCCGGCCCTCAGGAGGCCGTAGGTCCACCTGCCTTTCCTGCTCCCGGACCCACACAGCTTCTGTCCGTTGATCCCAGGAGGAGGGCCTCAGGGGCCCAACAGGAGCTGGACTGGAGGTTGCACCCTGTGGTTGTGAGGGATGGACTGAGCACCAGGGTCAAGGTGGCTCACTGCCTCTTGCTGGGACTGGGGGCAAGGCCCCTCAGAGGGCAAGGGTCTGGGCCAATGGCAGCCACCTGTGACCACCGGAGCCTGAGACTGTGACCAGCACCGTGGGAGCAGAGTCCAGAGGGGCTGGAGGACAACGAGGGCCTGGATCAGGCCGCGCCTGATGCCAGAGCCGGGACCCATCAGAAAGAGGCCTGACAGCCCGCTGCCTAAGGCAGTTTGAGCTGTGCTTGTCACGGGGGGGTGGGGGTGGGCTGAGGCATGTGGCCCTGCAGCAGGTGCCCACCCAGCCCCCGGCGGCCCCCTGCCGGCTGGTCATTTCTTCTCCCTGCCAGAGCATGGGAACCCAGCGGATGGCCACACTGTGCTGCTCTGCACCGAGGGCTCCCCGGGGGGACAGGCTCTCACCTGTATCCTGGCTTGTCCTTCTTGACCCTCCACTCTTGCCCCCTCTGCCCCCTGCACCCAGCCCCAAGCTCAGCAAGACTCTCAGAGAGGAGACAGGCCTGGGCCCCAGTACCCTCCCTGGACACCTGCCCTGGGCCCCTCCTGCGTGCTGCCCACTCCAGGAGCCCCCGCGGTGTCCCTGGTCAGTCCTGCTCCCTTCCATCCCAGTGTCCACTGTGCATGGGTAATGAGACAGCAGCCAGATGAACCACAGGCCAGCCTAGGGCAGGCGTTTGGAGCCAGGCATCTGGATCCAAATCCTGTGTCTGCCCTTGTGGAACTATGCTGTGCAGCCTTGAGCAGGTTACTCCACCTCTCTGTGCCAGGGCTGCCTCACCTGCAAAACACAGAGCCTTATATCAGCTACTTTACAGGGCTCCTGGGGCAGTGAGGAGCTCCAGCCATGGCCGGAGGGACATGCATGGTGGGCACAGAGAGGGGTGCAGGGACTGGTGGCAGGAGGCCTGGACACACCCAGGAAGGAGGGCTCGGGGTGTCCTCTCGGAGGGAGTCCAGGGAGGGGGTGTCAGTCTGTGTCCTCGTCACATCTTCTCCACCCCAGCCCTGAGCAGGGCCACCCTCTGAGTCACCCGCTAGCGCAGATGGAGACATCTTATCGCAGGCTGAGGTGTGGCCAGGGACGGTCTTTGAGGTCCCCAAAGTGACGTAAGCCATGACTTCACCCACTGTGGGTTCTGGGCTCGGGAGGGGCCACGTGGAGGAGGCTGGAGACAGCAGCCGAGGCCCCGACAGGGCCCTGCTGTCCTGCCCTGGGCCAGTCCGAGGGACGGTGGCCCCTGGAGGGAGCAGACCTGGCCAGGCTGGAGGGGTCCCGTGGGCTCCTGTGGCTTCCCGGGTCTTGTTTTAAAGAATGTCTCTCTTGGTGGGGGGAGCCGGGGAGCAGGCATACACGTGTGACGGGTCTGCGTGCATCACAAGGTCCCCACCATGGCCCGGGGGACAGGGCTGACATCAGGCAGGGGCCTGCCAGGGTCTGGGTATACTGACTGCAGCAGAGGCTGTCCCATGCCTGTGTCCCCTTATGTCCTGGGAGTAAGAGGGGCCCCGACCAGGAAGATCCCCTGCAGACGCCAGGCCCTCAGGACAGTCCTGCCCAGGAGGCCAGGGCTCTGGGAGGGTCAGAGACAGCAAAGGGCAGGAGCAGCAGGGGGCGCCACTGCCCCTACAGTCCGCCCCTGGGCTCCCCTTAGGAGCCCGCAGGGCGGGGCCCCTTCAGCAAAGAACAAAGCAAGTCCTTGCGGCCTGCTCAGTAGGAAAGGAAACCAGACAGGACTGTGTCCCTGCACTCCACGTCGCGGTCTCTGCACAAGGGGACTAAACGTTCCCTTTGCTAAGTGGCTGTAAGTCAGGTCAGGGGAGACGGTGTGGTCAAGAGGAGAGAGCACGCACTTGACCTGAGACAGGCCTGGACGGGAACCAGCCTGCGTGAACTCTGGCCCCCTCCTGCCCTTCTTTCCGATGCCCACCTCTCAGGGCAGGTATAGCACTGAGGTGGATAATCCACCTGGGGACCCTGGAGGACCCGGGGCCAAGAGCGTGCAGCCCCGCCCCCTGGACACTGCAGAGGGTGTGTGAACTCCTGTCTGCAGAGCAGAACCGGGGACCGTCTCCCCACCTGCACGTGAAAAGTCTGAATTAAGGAGCTCGGGTGCTTCCAAGGCCTGATTTTCTGTGTCCTGGAGAATCCTGGCAGGGAACTGTGTCCCCCTTCTGGGCGGGCATCTGTAGGACACCAAGGGCCCCCAAACAGCCTGCTCTGGGTCCCATGCCCACAGGCACACTCAGAGGCTGGTATCCTGACCCTCTGTCCCTCGGGCCCGAGTCACCCTGTAGAGTCGGGGTGCAGGAGCCTGGGTCAGGGTCAAGGTGGCCCAGCCCAGCCCAGCCCTGAGGCCCCACCCAGGACATTCAAGTAGTGGTCCGAACCGGCCACAGCTTCAGAGCAGCAATGCAGCTGTGGTCCTTTGCGGAAGGCCCTTTGGGAAGGGGAGGCCCTGGCCCCCCTCACTCCAGACCCCTGCCTTGGCCTTGAAGCCCACCTCACCTCACAGGTCACTGCCCCCCTGGGGCTCCTGGGTGCTCACGGCTGTCTGACGGGCCACTCCCCTGCCTGATCGCCAGCAGAGCCAAGCCTGCAGGGACAGGAGGCCCCAGGAGTCTGACCCACCCCTCCTAGCAGTGCCCCTGCACCCCTGACCTGGGTGTCCATAAACTTGGATGGAAAAAAATCCTCATTTTCGCCGACTCCAAATGAAGACCAGCGTTCCCTCGTGGTGAGGCAGCCAAGCCCCTGCTGTCCCTGGGACTGCACCGCCTGGGGGACGGGGTCTCCATGCACACTGCTGGCTGTGGGCCTCCTGGCCCCTTCGGCTCAGTCAGTGCTGCCTGGAAATCCCATGGGCACCCGCGGCAGCTGGTGAGGTAGGCGGCAGGGCCACTCGCTGCGAGGTGCTGCTCTGCGGAGTCTGGAAACTGCCTTAAAGGAGCTGCTCCCCGGCCACCGCCACCATTTGTCTGGGGATTTGAGAACATGCTGAGGGGGCTCTGCAGGCTCTCCAGGTGGCCAGAGGTGAGGCCCTGGAGCTGCGGGTCCATGAGGCACAGACCGTGGTCTCCTGCCTTGTTTGCTTTCCCTCGGCTTCAGCCCAGGTGGTGGGCAGCTGCCATCTGGGCCTGCACCCTGCACACCCAAGGTTCGGCTCAGAGGAGGTGCGCTCTCTGATTCCTGCAGCCTCAAAAGGGTAGCCTGATGTCCCAGTCACCAGAGTGAGCCCCCGGGGCAGGCCCTGGTCTGAGGTGGCCTTTGGAGAATGCATGAGGGACAGTGAGAAAGGAGCCAGCTTCCAGACCCCAGCACTGAGTGCCAGCAATGTCAGCGGGGACTTCAACGCCTCTGCCATGTGGGAAGTGCTACTAGATCCTCCTCACAGAGGGGAAACTGAGGCCCGGGGCTGCCAGGCCATTCCAGAGTCGCCGAGGACAGAGACGGCACTCCACCCGATGGGCAGACTGACACACAGACCCGGAAGCCTGGAGGGAGACCGCGGTCCAGGACACCTGGGGAAGCTTGCAGCAGCTCTGACCCAGTGTTTGTCCCCAGGGGCAGCGGGAGCCAGGAGGGCAGTCTGCGGCAGACCTGGTGGTGCTGGCCAAGGAGGGCCGGGAGGGGCGCGGAACATCCTGACTGTTCGCCCCTTTTGGGGGGTAGCCTGCGGTTGGGCCTGGGGTGCTCCCGGCGGGTTCCCTCCCCAGGTCCTCACGCATGGGTTTGTCACTCGCAGTTTCCGGAACAGGCAGGCTGAGTCCCAGGCCGGCGGGGCCTGTCGCGGGGCGGGGCCGGCGGGCGCGGGCGGCCGTCCAGCGAGGGCGGGTCGGGCGGCCGCCTTAAGTGCGGAGGCGCCCGCGGCCGGCAGACTCGCGAGGGAGCGGCCCAGCGCCCCGGGCACGCGCCCGCCTGAGCCGCCGCCCTCGGTGTCCCCGCCGACGCCGCAGACCCGCCATGCAGACGCGCGCGCTGCTCCTGGCCTCGCTGGCCGCGCTGGCGCTGGCCCGGGAGCCCCCCGCGGCGCCGTGTCCCGCGCGCTGCGACGTGTCGCGCTGCCCGAGCCCGCGCTGCCCGGGCGGCTACGTGCCCGACCTCTGCAACTGCTGCCTGGTGTGCGCGGCCAGCGAGGGCGAGCCCTGCGGGCGGCCCCTGGACGCGCCGTGCGGGGAGGGCCTGGAGTGCGCGCGCGGCGTGTGCCGCTGCCGAGGGTCGCACGCCGTGTGTGGCACCGACGGGCACACCTACGCCAACGTGTGCGCACTGCTGGCGGCCAGCCGCCGCGCGCTGCAGCTCTCGGGGACGCCGGTGCGCCAGCTGCAGAAGGGCGCCTGCCCATCGGGTAAGCCTGCGGGTGGACGGGGCACGGGGTGGACGGGGTGGTCGGCCCGGGACCCAGGCGCAGAGGACCGCCCAGCCGCAGGACCCCACTCCCTGCGCACGAGGGGCTGCCCTTTAGAAGCGGCCAGCTAGCCCCTGGCCTTCCAGAAGAAAGGAGGAGACACTGAGGCCCGGGATGCCACAGCGTGCTCAAGGCCACACACAATGCACCAAAGTGAAACCGGGTGCTCCAGACCCCCTGGTCCCCAGCCCCTGGGTGGGCTCCTCCAGATTTTGGCCTGGCACACTGACCTCCCCTGCCCCTCCTGTCTGGCTGTCAGAGCGCTGGCTGTCACAGTCCTTCCTGGTCCTCAGTCTCTGGTGGCTGTGTCCCGGAGGGTGACACCACCACTTCTTTCTTTCTGTTGGTGGCTCCAGGCATTTCTCCAGCTGGCTGCCTGGGGACCTGGGGGTGTCCCCTGAGTCCCCAAGACAGCCCCTTCTGACTTGCAAGTGGCTCTAGTGCTTCTTGCCCCCCAGATGGCCGCGGGCGTGAGGAAGAGCTAGAAAGCCCTGGCGTCAGGCTGGGCTGGTGCTTGGGGGGTGCTTGCTGAAGCCCTGTGCCAAAGCCTGGGCAGGTGGCAATGGGCGGGACCCTGGGCCCGCAGCCCGCAGCCAGCCAGGCAGAGACTGGGTGCAGCCGGGGCATGGCCTGAGGACCCCGGAGCTCAGGGAGCCTGCAGAGGGCCCTGTGGGCCAGATCTTCGCGGTCACGGTGGGGAGGCACTCTGGCGGGAGAGACCTGCAGGAACACTCTAGGCTCTGCCGAGCCAGCACCGTGAGCCCCACTGGGAGGTGCAGCTAGCACGGAGCCACGGGCTAGGGGGTGACACTGGAGACTGGGCAGGAGGTGAGTGGCCCTAAGGCTCATACCACTGTTCGAGTCCTCATCCTGTAGGCCAGAGCTCCCCAAGTTGTGTCCAGCACTCTAAAAATTAGGGTGCTGTAGGTTGGGAAAGGTCGGGAAACCACCCCCACAGGCTTGGGTCCGTCAGTGTGGAGTAGAACCTGAGGAGAGCTGCATCGGGGTAACCCCAGGCCTCCCACAGGGGTGCTGGTGGGTCCTCCCACAGGGGCAGGGGTGCTGGTGGGCCCTCCCACAGGGGTGCTCGTGGGCCCTCCCAAGGGGTGCTCGTGGGTCCTCCCACAGGGGTGCTGGTGGGGCCCCCGCGCAGGCCGGACCTCCTCCTGCAGCTGCGGGTCTGGGCAGACGGTTTGGGCAGCAGGCGGGACTTGGGGCATCCTGTGGGGGAACACGCAGGGCGAGGTTGTGTCCTGGTCTGTTTTGTGGTGGTTCAGTGAGGTCCCCGAGGCTGGGTTACTTACAGGGGACAGAACCTCTCACGCTTCCGGGGGCTGGAAGCCCAACATGGAGCGTGGGCAGGCTGGGTTCTGGTGGGGCCATGATCCCTGCAGGGCAGGAGAGCCTGGGTCCACGCGGCCCAGGCAGGGGGCCGGCTGGCCCAGTGGGGAGTGGGCCAAGTGCGGTGCCTCTTCCCTCGGGGCCTCAAGACCATTGGTGTGGGGCCCTCGTGACCTGGGCCCTCAAGGCCCCCCCCCGTGTCTCGCGCTGCCCGTGGGGTTCAGGCCTGGGCTTGGAACAGACTCTTCACACCCGGCAGGAGAGGGTGACCGCCAGGCTGTGTGGAGACTGCCCGGGGCGCGGAGCGTGGGGCACAGCACTGCCATAGCTCAGCGATGGACGTGCATCTGGGAAGGTCCCCTGCGCCTCACGGGCCACCCACCCAGGGGCTTGGCACTGGTTCTTCCAGGACCTCGCTGTGAGGGGCAGAGGTCCCGGGGACCCGACGTTTGCCCACTGCAGCTCGTGTGTGGCGGGGCCACCTCCAGCCTGCGCCTGGGCAGTCGCCATCAGGATGAGGCTCAGGGCCCGGGAGGGCAGGAGGAGAGAGGTGCCTGCTGCTGGAAACGCTCCTTCTGCTGCCTGGCCCCGGGCTGGTGACAAGGACATGGCACAGACCATCGGGGACATGGGCAGGCTGCTCGGGGAGGCAGGAGGCTATGGATGTGGGGTCTGGGCTGACTGCTTGTCCCCAGCGCCTCTCCCCCGAGTCACCTCCCTTATTCACCCTCTAGTCCTCACCTGTGGGTGAACTGTCACCACTCCTGCAGAGGAACCCACAGAGACGGCGTCCCGAGCCCGGTGTGCGCCAGCTGTGCCCCCGTGGGCAGCGCCTCCCACAGCTCCGCTCGACTGCTGGACCGAGGTGTTCTGTCCTGTGCCGTCCTGCTGCTGGCATCCGTTCCATCTGGGGGTTCGGGAGGGCTCCCCGAGGGGGCACCTGAGCTGAGCAGCACATGAGTGGCAGCTCCCTGAAAGGGACAGGAGGGCCTGGGGCCCAGGAGCACGTGCTGCCCCAGAGCCCACCGGCCAGGGGGGCCAGAGGGACAGGGCTGCTTGGGACCTTGAAACTGACACCAGTGCGTCACCCAGCTTTGGTGGCTGCTCAGGGCTGCGGTCCCACCCTAGGGCCACTGTTCCTGGGGGGACTGTGCGTGGCCAGCTGCTGTCTCCCAGGGCACAGACCTCAGGATTCAGCAGAGCTGCACGTACAGAGGCCCCTCCATATGGAGGGTGCTGGGGCCAGACACCCGGATGTGCCACAGAGGCTGGGAAGGGTGATGTGGCTGCCAGGAAGGAGCCAGGCCTGGCCTGGGTCTGCCTAGAATGAGGACTGTGCTCTGGGGCCCTGGGCTTTCCTCTGCAGGGCCACAGGACCTTTGTACCTGCTGTACCCAGTGCCAAGCTCCCCTCCCTGACAGCAGGTGGCTGGTCCCTCTTCCTGCTGTGGCCTGGTGTCCGTGGCCCTGGGCTGCCCTCATGCCACCACGCCCAGGTTACCCTTAGCGCCACAGCATCACCTGCGTTGGGTCTGCACTGACCCTTCTGCTTCCTCTGTGGACTCTGAGCCTCACAGTGCAGGGCCAGCTCTGGTCCCTGCCACGTGCAGTAGGTGACGTGAAACGAGAGGGTCCCCAGGAGACGTCCACCCACAGCGCCGTGCAGAGGCTCACCTGCTCTGGGAGCACCCGCCCTCTCCCTGCTAAGGCGTTTTTCCCATATGGGGACACCTGTCAGCGGAGTGACGTGTGCCCAGGGCTCCACACCTGCTGGGTCACCCTGAGTTCAGACTCAGAGTCCGGTGGCTTGGCGTGGTGTCAGGGCCAGGGGCACTCTGCCCCAGAGGTCCGCGCGTCTCCAGGGGTCTCTGTGGGAGCGCGTCCCGTCCGGTGGCTTTGGAGTTCGATCCTCTTTGCGGCCTCGGGGCTGCAGACCTTGGAGTCCCATATTCGGGACCCTTCAGGAGGTGAAGCCCCTGCTTCCTGTGTGCCTCCCTCCTGGGGCTGCAGAGGAGCTGCCGCGGCTGGTGCCCCCTCCTCAGGGCCTGGGTGACTCAGAGCTGCACGGGCCACGGAGAGCCCGAGAGCCTCTGCCACAGCGTCCGGGCGCCAGGAGCCAGTCAGGGAGGAGCATGGGGCCCGGGAACCCCCTGCCCCTGCTGCTCCTGCACCAGCCTGGGGTCGGGGGCGTCAGGAGTTCCTGCCCTGGGTCTTCCCACCAGGCTGTCCCCTCCCTCGCCCTCTACAAGACCATGGCTCCACCCACCAAACAGACCCCCGAGGCGGCTTGCAGGCCCGGTGTGATCTGGCCTCCGCTCCTTGCCCACCATCACCCTGCCCCTGTGAAGTCCCTAGTCCTGTGCTGTTAGTGACAGATGGTGAGGTGCCAGATGGGGTCGGGGAGAGGGAGAGATCAGGGAGTGCTTGCTGGAGGAGGCAGCATGGAAACAGCCACGGAGAAGCCAGCACAGGGGGCCCGAGGGAGGCCCCAGAGGCAGGTGGGCCCCGGGAGGCTGGGTCCTTGCAGACAGAATGGCCACGTGGCTGACAGCCCTTTCACGGTGGCCAGTGTGGCCAGGACAGCGGATGGGCCCCGTGCAGGGGTGACAACTGAGGGAGGGAGCTCCAGAGGCCCTGGGTGGCAGGAGGGTGGCGGGTGGTGGGGCCTAGAGTGGCGGTGGGGTGCTGGGGGAGCGGGTGGGAGAGCCTGTGGAGGGCGGGTGACCCGGTGCAGTGGCCGTCGGTGTTGGTGGTGGTGTTGGTGTCCTGGCGGCCAGCGGGTGAGGAGAGCTCACTGCAAGACCAGGAGACCCCCTCACCTGCCCAGGTGCTGCCTTCAAGTCCACTCTAAGGGGCCTGAGCAAGGTGCTGGTGGCCTGCTGCCCGGCCCCTGTTGGGCAGTGAGGTCAGGCCCATGTGTTGGCTCCGGGGGCCCGAGGTCGGTGCCAGCTGCAGCAGGAGGTGGCCGGCCCCTCTGCCAGGCCGAAGGCCTCCTGCGGGCTCACACTGGAGGAGCCGGCCACCGGGGCTTGGGAGGGACGGGGTGACGCAGGGACTGTGCACCGGCTTGAAAAGCCCTAAACGCACCTTTGGGGCGTCTTTGTGGGGAGCGTGTATTTGTTTGTGTTGGTCCTGGGCACCCCCCCGGTCTCCACCACGAGCTGCAGCCCAGCCCTCGGTGAGGCCGGACTCGCTGAGTGGCCGAGGCTGGCCTCAAACTTGTGATCCTCTGGTCTCCACCTCAGAGTGCTGGGGAACGGGCGCCCGGCGTCACGGCCCCTTACGGGGAAGGCCCGGGAGCCCACTGAGCTGCCCCTCTGTGGAGGGGCAGATCTGCCCGAGCCTCGGCCCCCGCCTGGCTGTCTGGTGCTGGCCCCCAGCACCCCAGGAAGTGACCTCCTGAGAGAAGCAGAATCAGACCTGAACCCTCGTCCTTGGTGCAGCAGGAACCCAGAGGACATGCCCGTGCCAGGCTCTGCCCGCTCTGCCCGGCGCCCACCCGGCCTGTACATGGTGGCAACTTCTCCACAGGGCACTGAGGGACCAGGTGTCCATCCTCCAGCTGCCACTGTCCGTGGGTTGCAAGCTCCGGGCCTGTTCAGTGTCCTGCACCAGGAGTGGCCTAGCCTTTGACCCCAGGCCTGGCCAGCGGTGCCCCCTCGGGGCCCAGCCTCACAGGCCTGTGTCCAGTGTGCCCTCGGGCCCAGCACTTCATCTGTCTCCGAGGCCTGGCCCGCACCCTGGGCTGGCCCACAGCAGTGAGCAGGGAGGGCGGGAGGGAATGTTCTGGGAGCAGCCCCCTGGGGCTCTGTGGGGCTCCCAGCCGCTCTGTGCTTCTGCCCCTCCTGCCCCACCCCCAGAACCTCGGATCCAGCCTGCTCCCCCCGAGCGGGGGACATAGGGCAGGGAGGGCTGCAGCCCAGACCCAGGGCAAGGGCTGCATCTCCTACAGCCACTGTGACGGCCCTGGCTGGGCCCGGGCGCCAGGCGGGCTCCTGGGGCCGGTGATCTTGCTGATTCCAGGCGGGAATCGCTAGTCCACCTCACAGACAAGGAGCCACCCAGAGAGGTCAGGGGACCCACCCAAGGCACACAGCCAGGCCCCTCAACTCCTGACCCTTCACTCTCTGGTCCTTGGCTCATGAGATGGCGTCCAGCCTCCAGGAGAGTCCAACCCTGGCCTGTCCTTGGCTTGGGCCGGCCTGACTCCTGACTGTGGACTTCTGTGCTGAGCTGACCCTGTGGAAGACGGGGCCCTACCCACTGACCCGCGCTGTGTCCAGATGGAGCCAGGCCCCTCGATCCCCAGTCGGGGTGCTGGACGGCCCAGGCCACTCAGGCCAAGCACCCTGGGCCTCCCCTTACAGGAAGCCCTCCTGGCCTCCCGTGGGTCCAGTCATTGACCCTCTGGGTGCAAGTTCCGCCAACCTGGGGCTAAAGGGGTCAGTGGAACTCCCTGGAGGGACGGCAGGGTGCCCGCCAGGTGCCCCCTCTGCTCCCTCCTGTCCCCCGCTGCTCTTTCCTGCTTGGTTTGGCTCCGGGTCTTGCTGAGTTGTGAGGCCGACCTTGGACCTGCCGCCTTCCGCCTTAGCTCCCGGGCCCTGGGCCGCGCCTCACCAGGAACCTCCCAGGTGCTAGCACACGCCCTCTACCTAAGGAACCCCCTGGCCAGTGTTGGGCCTGCCCCCACGTGTGGACCGCTAACGGACGTCTCAGACATCCAGCGACCCAGGGAAGGAGGGTGCCGGCTATCCCCTTCACAGATGAGGAGTGTGAGGGGCTCGGGGGACTCTGGGGTCTTGCCATGGGGAGCAGCAACGCTGGGTCTCACCCCTAAGCAGCCGGACACAGGGAACTGGGCTGTGTCCTGGCTGTGTCCCTTAGGAGCTAGAGGGCTGATGCACACAGCTGTGCCCTGCGCAGCCCCCCAGGAAGCAGGCCACATGATCTTTGTTAATGGCTCCAGAATTGTGCAGTGCAGAACCTATGCAGCAGGGCAAGGTGGTCCTGCAGGGCGTCTTGCTCGTTCACTTTCCCACTCAGGGCCTTAGTTTCCCCGTCTGTTCCTGGCAGTTTTGACTGCCCTGAACCAGCACAAAATCTTCAGTTCAGGGGGTGCCACTGTCCCTCAGTGCTCCTGGAAGCCTGCCAGGAAGGAATAGTGGAGGTGGAGCCCTGAGACGGCGCTTCTGTCCCTTTCCCAGCCTCCCGCGGTCCTGGCTGTGCCCCTTCCTCTCCAGAGGCCCAGACGGACACCTGGCTTGGGCCTCACTGTCCAGTTCCTCCCGGCCAAACCTCCAGGCCTTCCCTAGACTCCAGTTTAGTTTATTTTTGAAAATAAAAGCAGCAGCAGCTGAACCAGCCGAGGGCCCAGGCGGGCGTGGGGGTGGGGTTGTCAAAACCCCAAATAAACAGAGCCTCTTCCCAGCGCTGCCTCCCTCCCACTGACTCATCCTGACTCATCTGTGTGGGGCCGGCTTAAAGGGCCAGCCTGGCGGCCGGGGTCTCGGGCTGCCAGCGCCGCGCTCTCCTTGCCTCCCAGCCTCCGCCCTGGGCCATGACGTGGGCCGGCTGCGCTCTCAGGGCAACGGCTGGGCCTCCCTGGTGTGGTGGGTGGCCCTCCCGGTCCTGGAGGAGCCCCAGGCAGAGCACCCCGTCCTCCTTCTCTCTTTCTGCGCATTTTGGGGGCTGCCTTGCCCTGTGCTGGTCACTGCTGGGGTGTGGGGTGACCCAGACCCATCTCTGTCCCCAGGGGCTCATGTGGGGGGCCAGGTGGACGAGGGCTTCTCTGGAGAGTCCACGCCGGGCGCAGGAGGGGTGAGCGGGAAACGGGCAGCGCCGCCCACCCCTCCCGTGCTGGGTGGAGCCCCGTCGGCCTGCGCCCGTGGCGTGGTGCAGAGGTGCTGGTCCCCAGGCACAGAGGAGCAGGGCCACTGTCCACGCCGTCCAGGCCTCTGCTGAGTCGGTGCAGAGCCAGCAGCCCAGGCACGTGGCCCTGCCCCGCTCCCCCACCCCGCTCCCCCACCCTGCTCCTGTGGGGATCCTGCAGGGTCAGCCAGGGGCCGGGGCGGCCTGCAGAGGCTTCTGACCGGGGTCAGCTCCTCTGCAGTCCAGGATAAAGTCAGCGGGGAGGCCGCTCGACCTGAGCGTCTGATCACCCCTGTGAGGTGGACACACGTCCCCACCCTATGCTGTCACACGGGGCCCTGTCCCAGGCTGCCAGAGCCCAGTGTCCAGGTCTGTCTTCAGGGCACAGGCACAGATGGCTGCGTGTGCTCTGCCCACCCTCCCGGGCCTGGCCTGGGCACCGCTGGACTCCGGGCCTCGCCCTTGAGCTTCCCGTCACACTGTGCTGTCTTTGGCGGTCCTCCCCTGGCGGGTCCCGCCCTGGTCCTCAGGTGCTTGGGGAAACGGAGCCAGGTGGGCGGAGGGAGCCCCGGGGGCTGGGGCTGTGGCCAGGGGCCAGGGGGAGCCTCCACCAGGAGAAGGCTGGGGGTCCCTGGGGAGGCAGGAGAAGTGGGGGTGGCCCTGCAGGGCAGAGGTGGCAGGACGCACTGGGGAGGGGTGACATCGGCCTCAGTGTCGGGGTGACCGAGCGCCTCTCCCCGAGACAGCCTGCTGCTCACAGGCCCAGACGCAGGGGGTCGCAGGGGGCCCTCCCTGCCAGATGCTTGGGCACCCCTTGGAGTGCCCGAGAGCCCGGTCAGAGCCTCCGTGCTGTGGGCACCTTGCGGGAGAGCAGATTCCTCGTGGTCCCCGCCCTGCCCAGAGCCAGGGGCATGCGGAGGAGCTGCGGGCCTGGCCACCCGCTGTGTGGAGGGTCAGGGGTCCCCTGGGTACTAAGCCTGGGCAGCGCCAACCCAGTCAGTGGTGAAGGGGTCTGGGAACCGGGGACCCTGCAGAGCTGCTCCCAGGAGGACAGTCCAGGGCCCAGGGCACCGCACCGACCAGCTTGATCTGTGAGGAGCCCGTGGGGGTTGGCGTCTCCCCTCAGACCCTGGCCACCCCTGACAGGTGGCCTTCTGTTCAGGCTGAGCAGGTGGGCTGGACGGTCCAGGAAGCCAGGTGTCCTCTGGTCTGCGGTCCCCACCTCCAGTGACCTGGGGGCCTCAGCTACACACCGTGCTTTCTGGGCTGGGCCTTAGCTGAGGTGGCTGGGTGTCCATGTGGTGGTGCCCCTGGCAGGGAGGGTCACAGTCTGCGAGTCACCCTCACACCTGTCCCTGCAGGCCCAGGGGCACCTTCGGGCCAGGTGCGTAAGGAAGCACTGAAGCCACAGAGCTGGAAGCAGCCTGCCCAGCCAAGCCAGGGCCAGGCCCAGAGCAGGGGCCTGCCTAGAAGCACAGGGACCTGGGGGTGTCAGCAAGGCCAGTGCAGGAGACCAGAGGCCATGGCCTGGGCCCTGCCCCACCTGCCTACAGCCTGGGCCTGGTGGGCAGTAGCCCATGGCGAAGGGCAGCAGAGACCCGAGCTGGGAAATTCACAAGCCGCCCAGCCAGCAGGACAGGGCTGTGGCCAAGAGAGATGAAGGTGTGGCCCTGTTCACTCAGGAATCAGTCACCGTCTGTCCAGCAAGGCCACCCTGGGGCCGGGGGGCAGCTTCCCCACCCACTGTACTCACCAGCTCCCAGGCTTAGAGGACCTGCAGAGCCCACGAGGAGGTGGAATGCTCATTTCCTGCCAGCACACAGCTGTCACATCAGAGAGGAAGGGCACAGGGTACTGAGCCCAGCGCTGGCTCCAGTATCAATGCTGTGTCACCCAGGGCAAGTGTCTTAGCCTCTCTGAGCCTCCTGGCTAGCTCAGCAATGTCCAGGGAGGCGATCTGAGGATGCTCAGCTTGCAGAAGCCTTCTTTACCTGTCCTCAGGGTGAGGGGCCACCTTCCCAAGTGTCTGGACATCATACAGTGAGGTACCCCAGGCTCTGCACATGCAGAGGCTGGCCCCAATAGGGGGTCTCAGGTGGGGCTTCCTCCTCCCCAGGACAGTCAGGGCTGCTGGGAGCCGCAGGGCTCCTGACCACCGGCTGCCTCTGTCAGTGCAGGTCTCCACCCGCTGACCAGCCCGCGGTACAAGTTCAACTTCATCGCCGACGTGGTGGAGAAGATCGCTCCAGCCGTGGTCCACATCGAGCTCTTCCTGAGGTGCGTGGGGCCCTGCTGCACCCCGGTGGTTTCCTGATGTCCCCTGGGTCCCTTCTGTCTGCTGGGGCCCAAACTCGGCTGGATTCCAGGGTGAAGCAGCAGGGCATCAGGGTGGTGGGCTGCCTGGGGCCCCGGAGGCCACACCAAAGCTACGAGTGGGGTCCCCAAGGGGGTTGGCAGAGTGGCTTTGCCTAGGACAGCCTGGCCCCAACCAAGGTGGCCGGTCAGTGTGGCAGGGGCAGGAGTGGGAGGGAGGGAAGGGTGGGGTGCGGAGGGAGGGAGGGTCAGGGAGCACAGGTCCCCCCGGGGTCCTGCCACAGCCTCCTGCCCCAGCCTCCCCACCCCAGCATTACAGGGCCTTCAGAGCTGGTCCCCAGCCCTGCCCAGTCACTGGCCACTGTGTCCAGTGCAGTCCTGGGGAAGAGGAGACGGTCCCACACGACGTCTCTCGAGCTCAGAGCGCTTGCTGCCTTACTCTTGGCCCTGGGTGAGGCCCTGGGTGAGGCCAGGAGTCTGGCGGGAGCCTGTCATCCTTGTCCTCATAGGGATGGGAGGAGAGGGGCCTCTGGAGCCCGTCTGTTTGGCCTGGAGTGAGTGCAGGTGCCGGGCTCCACACCCCGCCGTCCCTGGTGTCCTGGGACAGAGCCAGGTCTTCTCCGGGCTCCCCGCGGCGCCCCGGCTTGGCCCAAGTTTCTCAGCGCAGCCCTGGGGGTTCCACCTCCTACGGGAGGGAGATGGGCACTCACGGGACTCAGCGCACGGGTGACCGTGGCCCACGCGACCAGCGGCCTGCGGAGCGCCCTGCGTTGGTGGACAGTCCCAGGCCCACGGAGCCCCAAGGAGCCCCAGGAGGGGCCTCTGCTGTCCCCATTCCAGGAGGCCAAAGCCCAGGCCTGAGATTGCCGCGAAGCTGGAGGCCCCGCTGCGGCTGACCTGGGCTCCTGACCCCCGGGTGGAACCGGTCTCTGTGCAGAGGCTGACCCCCGGCTGCCCTTCCCCGGGGGCCGAGACAAGTCATTGAGGAAATTACAACTGGGTGCACTAAGTGGCACTTCGCTGTCCCTCTGTGTCTGGACAGCCACACCAGCTCCCCGAAGAGCGGGGGCACCAGCCCCACACCACTGATCACTGACTGCAGGTGGCCTGGGGGGTGGCAGTGCCAGTCCCTCCTTGGCCTTGGAGGCAGTGATCTGAGTGGATGGTGACCCCTGACCTAGGTGTGGCCACGGGGAGGAGACCACAGGACCCCCTCGGGCCCTGTCTGCAAACCCCACGTGCTGGGCGCGGGGGCTGTGCAGGGCGTCTGGAGGTGACACAGCTGGACAGGACGGGGCTGTCACAGCCGGGGGTGGACAGTGCCAGGCTCAGAGCGCAGGCTGGTTGAGCAGCTGGACACAAACTCACGCTCTGCCCGTCGCCGTGGCCTGACCCGGGCAGGGCTGGGCTTCCCTGGGCATGTGCTGCGTTGTTTTCCTGGATTCTGACAGAAGGGTCAAGACCACGTGGCCTGGCCGCAGAGGGGCTGGTCACCGCTCTGGAGGCCGGAAGCCCAACATCAGGGTGCGCCCGTCTCATCCCTCCTGGGCTTCGGGAGAGCCTGCTCCAGGCCTCTCTCCTTGCTAGTGGGCAGCAGCGCTTGGCATCCTGGGCTGTGCTGTGTTGTCTAGTCCACCCACTGGCCCGTGCCCCCGTGTCCCTGTATCTGACAGTCCCTGGGTTTGGGGCCACCCTGCTCTAGCGTGACCTCATCTTAACTTCATTACAGCGGCAAAGACCCTGTTTGCATGAGGTGCTGGACTAACGCTTGTGCCCATGCCCACACCGGCCGTGAGTGTGCGGGCCTGGCCCACCTGGGAGCCGCCCGGTGGCCTTGCTGCTGTCCGAGGGGCTATTTCTGCACCTTGCAGAAGCCCTCGTGCCCCTGAGATGTGCCAGGCCTTCCTCCTGGTGTTTCCTCTCCTGCCTGGTCCAGGCCCCAAGGGCCTGGTCCCCTGTCCCCGTCCACTTAGCAGCCCCAGGGACTGTGCACTGCCCTGCAGCAGCCCTGTGCTGGGACCCGGGACCCCCCACCTGCCCCAAGCTGCCTCTGCTGCCCCTCCCTCCCTTCTGGGTGGGTGTGGCCCTGACGCAGACAGCCTGTTTCCAGATGGGGCGACTGAGGCCCGAGGCTTAGACACCTACCTGAGGGCTGCAGCTAATCAGCGGGCCTGACCATCAGGGTCCAGTCTGTCTGGCTCCAGGGCCCCGTGTGGGCAGACAGTGCCGCTGGGGGCGGCGCAGGCCTTCACGGGGATGGTGCTCATCGCAGCAAATTGCAGGCTGGAGGTGACCATCCCTTCTTTATGGCTGTGAGGCGGGCCCAGCTTCATGGCCAGGGCATGGCCTGTAGGTGACACAGCCACCATCTGCACAGCCCGGGGACTCCACGCCCGTGCTTTCTGGCCCACGCGGGCTCCGCTCCCGGCTGCCTGCCCCTGCCCCGGCCGAGGAGGCCTGCCTGAGCACCCCCTGTGCCTGCGCTCTGCAGACACCCTCTGTTTGGCCGCAACGTGCCCCTGTCCAGCGGTTCGGGCTTCATCATGTCGGAGGCGGGTCTGATCGTCACCAACGCCCACGTGGTGTCCAGCACCAACTCAGCCTCAGGCCGGCAACAGCTCAAGGTGCAGCTGCAGAACGGAGACTCCTACGAGGCCACCATCAAGGACATCGACAAGAAGTCTGACATTGCCACCATCAAGATCCACCCCAAGGTGAGCTCAGGGACGGCAGGGACACCGTGAGGCAGCCTCTTCCAGACCCCAGGCCTTTGGATGCCCGGCCCAACGTCCCCAGGACGGCTGGGGAACTGAGTCCTGAGGGCCACCAGCAATCGTCCCATGGTCACTGGCCAAGTCAGAGCTGGAGCCTGGGTCTCTGGAGCCCTGCCCTTCCCGGCCCCAGGCGCAGGACCGAGCAAGACTGCGTGACTGGCCAGGCAGTGTGTGGCGAGCAGCGGGAAGACCAGGTCCTCGTCACTCCCTAGGACGGGGCTCCATGGGCGCACCTAGGCCTGCTCCTGCAGATGCAGCTGTCCCATGTGGCCACTGAGGCCGAGCCTTGGAGACACCCACCTCGCCCTCCACGGCATCTGCCCCTGCCCCTGGCTGCCCGGCACAGCTGCCCCGGCACAGGGACTCTGTTTCTGGTGCTGGGCACAAGCCGTGCTTACTCAGGTAGTCCCTGCCTGGAATCTCAGACGGAGAAACTGAGGATGGGGGAGGGCAGGTAACTCCAGGACCGTGGCCAAGTGTGGCAGGGTCAGCCGGCTGAGCCGAGACGCTGGGCCTCCCCTGGGCTTGTTCGCGGTGCCCAGTGTGGTCGTTAGGCTGCCTTGGGGTTCCCGTGGCCTCCTCCGCGACTGTCACGCAGTCACTAAGCCTCTGGTGGGCGCCTGCACGTGGGGCTTCCCTGGTGCTGAGTTGGGGTCTGGCCCCTCCCCTGGACACAGGTGGACAGCACTCGTAGTGACAGGTCTCTGGCAGGACCTCCTGTGGCCCTGCCAAGGCAGGCTGGAGACAGTTCCCGCACCTGAGCCGGCTCACCCCCAGCTGCTGAGTCTGGGGCGTCACCTCCCTTTAAAGTCAGGGAACCTGAGTCCTGGCAGGAGCAGGCTCGAGGACAGAAGCCGGCCCATCCCGTGACGCGCCTGGTGGTCATGCTGTGGGCTGGGGCCCCGTGGTCTCTGTCACCACTGGGCGACTGTGCTGATGTCCAGAGGGGCCGTCGGCCAGGCCAGGGTGAGGTCACTGTGCCCAGCAGAGCCTGAGCGCAGGCAGAGGGGGTGTGGCCTGAGGACCACAGCTGGCCCTGCCCCGGGGCCCAGGCCGGGAGGGGAGAGCCAGACGGTGCCGGCTGGGTCTCTCCGCCTGGTTTCATGGCACTGTCCTGAGGGACCAGCCAGCGTGGACACCAGGTGGGCAGAGCAGATGCTCTCGTGGACACCTGTGCCCATAGGTGCTGCCCGAGCCAGTGAAACCCAGCACTGAACCCCTGGCCAGCACCTCCTGCCATGTCCCCAGGGGAAGCCCCCTTGAGCCTGGCGGCCTCGTGGCACCAACCCAGTGGTGGCTCCGCCTCCCCGCTGGCCAGCTCCGGTCTCGGGCCTCCCTGCACACAAGCCACCCTGGCCCTCTGGCCTCTCAGAGGTCTGCTCTCTGGGTCCCCGCCTTCCGATGGGTGGCCTGGCTCCTCCTCCTGGGCCCCTACATGCCATGGACGGAAGCTTCATGGCCAGTATCAGAGCACAGGGGTCCGTGCCCACACCCGCCGGGGTCTCTCCGTGTGGCTTCCGTCCGCGGATGCCCCCTCTTCTCCACGGACAGCTGTTATGAAAACTGCCCCCCAGGAAGGTGTCTCATTTGACATGGAGGCCCCCAACAGGGCTAGAAGGGCAAGGGGAGAACAGAGGGCAGGAGGAGAGGGCCAGAGGTGAGAAGCCGTCCTGCTCCCTCCAGAGCTAGGCCCATGTGGTCTGGCCGTGGGCAGGCGGTCCCAGGTGGCCCTCCCCAGCCTCCCCAGCAGTGACGTCTCAGGCTACTCAGGCAGATCAGACCCTGGAATTGACGTGGACGCCACTGACAGGGCTGTCTGGCTCTTGCCAGTCACCTGCCCTGTGTGTGCACCTTGGCACTTGCTCACGGGCACTCGAGGGCACCCCTCAGAGCCCCCCTGCAGCTCCTGAGTGCAGAGCAAGTTGGACTTGGCCCCTCTGCCAGCTCCCAGCCCAGTCACAGGTCAGACAGAGGCGCTGAGCCCCACGTGAAGAGAGGGGCACTGGGGCTGGCGTGGGTGGCCACGTCAGCTCACCCCGGGACTCGGGTGCCCTGTGCATCTGTCAGGAGGTGGGGTGTCGAGGGGTCCTCAGCTGGCTCTGGCACCTGCAGAGCTGTCCACCCCAGGCACCACCAGATTTCCAGAGGGTCCTGTGGCCATTAAGCCAGGAGGCTCAGGAGCCCAGAGGCTGTGCCCAGCTGGGCCCTCTGTGCCTTCCCATGGCGGGCCACGTGGCCAGCCCTACTGAGCCTCTGTTCTATGACTCCAGCTTGGGTCTGGCGCTGTCCTGGGCCTGGTCCATTCTGGGGCCTGGCTCGGCCTCATGGGGCCCTCCCTGTGCAGCTGCCCCCGGCTTCCCTGGGCCCACCCACTGGGATCTCAACTCAGGTCACCTGAGCCTCCCTCTCTTTTCTCCCCGTCCCCCCAGAAAAAGCTCCCTGTGTTGCTGCTGGGTCACTCGGCAGACCTGCGGCCTGGTGAGTTCGTGGTGGCCATTGGCAGTCCCTTCGCCCTGCAGAACACTGTGACGACGGGCATCGTCAGCACCGCCCAGCGGGACGGCAGGGAGCTGGGCCTCCGGGACTCAGACATGGACTACGTCCAGACAGACGCCATCATCAACGTGAGTCCCAGAGCAGGGGAGGCCGCCAGGCCCTGGCACACCCTGTTCACACCTAAGACCTGGCTCGCTCCTGTCCCCGGAGCAGGTGCCAGCTCCTCACTGCTGCCAGAAGCAGTGCTGACCCGGGCCTTGTGCCCAGGCTTGCCGGCCACCCTGGGGGTTCAGACCCTAATGGTCCTTCAGCCATGGGGAGGCCTGGCCACGACCCGGACGCCTTGTCCCCCGGGCAGCGTTGCATTCTGCCATGCTGGGTCATGCCCGGGCTGTGCCCAGCTGGGCCCTCTACCTCCCTGTGGTGCCTCCCCTGCATTCTCAGGGCTCTGCCCAGACAGTGCGGCACACGCCCGCCGGGCCTGCGTGACTCCCAGGGCTGGAACCGTTAGTCTCTATGGGGACCCCGGGCCAGGTCAGCAGGACCGGGAAGGTGCCCTGCGCTGCATGCCCCACTGGGTGCCCCCACCCGCCAGTGGTCAGACACCAAAGCAGGGGGCCTGCGCGGAGAGCGCTGGTGGACAGAGGAGTCCTCAGAGGGCTGTGGGCGTGGCCTCTGTGGCCTCAGCTCTCCTGTGGGTGAGGCAGGGCTGAGCCGAGGCTGCGGGGGGAGCGCTGTTGTGTCTCCACCGCCTGAGCCAGGGCCAGGCAGAGGGGGACTTGGGGCTCAGGCAGAGCTAACACCTGTTTCCTCCCCTGCAGTACGGGAACTCCGGGGGACCCCTGGTGAACCTGGTGAGTGTCTCCTAGATCCAGCGTCTGGTTTCCAGGGCTTTGCTCGCAGGGGGGCACAGCCTCAAGGCAGGGACAGGACCCACAGTCAGGCCCCAGAACCCACACACCTAACAGACAGGAGCACGGCTGGGCCGGAGGCCCAGGAGGGGACTGAGCCCCAAGGCCCATGTTGCCCCATGCCCTCAAGGGCCGTGGCTGCCACCAGAGTGCACTGCCCAAGAACAGCGCCCTGAGTGCGTGGGGCAGGAGACAGTCTGGGCGATCGTCACCCTGGGCCTCCCTCCCTCAGGTTTATATTCAAGGTACATCCCACCCCTGGCCAGGGCGCAGGCCCAGGGTGCTGCCCAGGCTGAGGGAGTGAGGTCCTGGTGGCTGGGGAAGAGGCAGGGGGAGGCTCAGGGACAGAGGCATGCTGTGGGGCTGCCCTGGCCCCACTCCCTGCCCCCTGCTTCCTAGACACGAAGACAGCGCCCTGTCACAGCCCTCCCTCTCTCTTGGCATCCTGGGTCCAGGGGCACTACCGCCCAGGGCAGAGGGTGGGGCAGGGGGCAGGCCTCGACTTCGAGCTCCCAGGACGGAGAAGGTCTCTCTGGAGATAGCAGAAGGGGGACAACCCAGGGGCAACCCCTCAGGCCAGTTGGGGCTACTCCAGGAGTGTCCCTATGGGGGCATCGAGGGCCCCCTCTGGAGAGGAGGCTGTGGGCACCGTGCCTTGTGGGCAGCAGTTTGCCTGGCTCCCTCGTGTGACCACCCTCCTTTGACGGCCCTGCCAGGATGGTGAGGTCATTGGCATCAACACGCTCAAGGTTGCAGCTGGCATCTCCTTTGCCATCCCCTCGGACCGCATCACGCGCTTCCTGTCAGAGTTCCAGGACAAGCACATCAAAGGTACGGCCTCCTGGGGGGCGGGGGGCGGGGGCACCCCCAGGGCCAGGCCCTGCCTCCCGGCTCCGGGGCCAGCGTCGGAGCAGGTGCGCTGTGAGCAGTGCTCACCACCAGACGGGGTCCCTTCGCCCTCCCAGAGCCAGGGGACGTCAGGACAGCTCCTCTGTGTCCTCTCAGGGGCCTCCCTGCCCCTCCTCACTTGCTGCCCTCCAGGCACATCTGGTGGCTCCGGGCTCTGGCCTCCGTTCTCTTCATCAGCTTGGACTTTCTGGTTCCTCTTGACTGGGCTGTTCCTTAGTTGTCACAGTTTGATGGTTTCTTCCTAATACCCACCCACCCACCAGTCCACCCGCCCACTCACCTACCCACTCACCCGTGGACCTGTCCATCCATCTGTCCATTTATCCTCCCACCTTTCCACCCACCTACTTGTCATCAGCCCACCCACCCATCCACCCACCCGTCCACCCACCTGCCCCCCACCCATCCCTCCTTCTCTCCCTTCCTTCCACCCTTCCATCCAACCACTCATCCACCCACCCCACTCACTCACCATCCACCCACTGCCTAGTCTATCCATCCGTCCATCTATCCATCCTCACGTCCGCGTGCCCATCCATTTTCCCATTCACCTGTTCCGCCTCCCCTCCCTTCCTCCCACCCATCCCTCCACCCGTGGCCAACTCCTTCCTCCACCTCCAGCCAACTTCCCTCGCCTCATCCCCGTCCCAGCAGGGCTGCCCACTCCACCCTGTCCACTCCTGCGTGGCCATGAGCACCCCTCTGGGAGAGGTCTTGCCACGCACAAGGTGGCTGTCCCAGTGAGATCACCCCAGTCACTTTTGGTTGGTGGTGGCGCCACCTTCCAGGGGAGGGCACACTCCTGACCTGGGCCCTTTCCTGGTGGCCCAGTTGAGCTTCTCCATCTTGTGCTCACCTCCTGGCCGACACCCAGCCTGGCACCCGGCACCCTCGCCCTGACCTTGCTCCCTGTCTCCCCCGCCCCTCACCAGCACTCCACTGAGCAGGGCCCTCTCTGCTCGCCCCTCCTCCACCATCCTGCCCGCCAAGCACAAGGACCCCAGCGCAGCCTGAGGACTGGTCAAAGAAGAATGGCCACCGGACCCTGCGTTCGTTCCTAAGTGTCCTTAGGTGAAGACAGTCTGGGGCTGGGCAGAGGCTCTTTCCCACGAAGCTCAGCCTCCTCTTCTTGGGCAGTGGGCACCATCTGAGCCCCAGGCCTCTTCTTCTTGGCTGCCAGGAGCCTCAGAGCTAGACCAGGGCTGCACCTTGGTTCCTTGGTAGCTGGGCCTTCCTTCTCCGAGCCTTTCCAGTTTAGCTGTCCTAGCTCTCTGGGTCCCCTGGACTGGGCCACCCCGGGAGTCAGTGGCTGTGCCTGTGGGTGAGGTGTGAGCTGCCTGTCTTGCTGGCGTGGGGTGGTGGCCTCTCCCTTCTCGCCTCTTCCTCTCCTTTCTTGGAAAAGGACCCGCCAGCACCTGGCTTTGCTTCTCTGTGTCACGGGGACTGTCCTGGTCAGCACTGACCTCACCTGGCCCCTGAGAAACCTTCATCCCTCACCCAAGGACAGTGCAGACCACCCCCTCCCACAAAGACCCCCCCAGATATCTTAGCTGAGAAGCGAATCTGTTGTTTTAAAATTCTTCCAAAGTCAGAGTTTGTTTTTTCTTTTTCTAAATAAAAATATGAAATGATCCAAACCCAGTTAAAGTTCTTTAAAATGATCAATCTTTTTATTAAATCAGGATGCTGAGTGCACTCTTGTTCTTGCCCAGGGTTGCAGATGCCCCGGGGGCTTTCGGGTCACGTGACCACTGCACTGTGGGGGGGGGCAGGGCTCCTTGGCTGTGAGCGCTCAGGAAAGCTGCAGGGTAGGAGTGGGCAGGGGGGACAGGCAGAACTTGGGGAGGTCCTTCCCAAGCAGACTGGGGGGTGGGAGAGGCAGCCCCCCACCCACAGAGGCAAGGCTGGAGCAGGAGGGCAGGGCAGGGCAGAGCCGAGGCCCAGGCTGGGCAGGGGGTCTTGTGCCTCTCATTCCTTCTTCAGGGAGAGGGGGCAGCTGAGCCCAGGCCAGCCTCTCCTCCTGAGCTCTGGACAAGGTCCAGCTGAACTTTGGCTTTGTCACACACAAGGCCGGGGCAGCCAGGGCAAGTGTCCAGCTGCCTCTCCCTGCCTGGCCCTCCTGCAGGCTGGACCAAGCCCTCAAAGAGCATGCCCCAAGGGCCAACAGGTGACATGGTGTCTCAGAGATCAGGAGGAAGGCAGGTGGGAGGCTGCAGAGGACAGGGAGCAGGAGACCCCTGGGAGGTGGCATCTGGCAGAGGGGCGCCTGCTCAGGAGATGGGGGAGGCCCTGTCTGACCATGAGCAGGACGTGTGACATCCCAGGGGTGGGCCAGCGCATTCTGTGCAGGACCCCGGGCCAGCGTGGGGGCTGGAGAGGCTTAGAGAGTGGGGGTAACGGCAGGGGCTCCTCTGGCTGGGGGGGGGGCAAGGTGAGCCACGGAACAGCAGGTGCTGTCAGTACCCTGCCCGGTGGCAGCAGCCAGGGAGACCTGGTGGGTGGGGGTCTGCTTGAAGGTGGAGCCAGCAGGGTTTCTAGAAAGGTGGAATGTGGGTGGGAGCGGGAGGGACTGGGCAGAGCCCTGGGAGCCGCGGGCAGGAGGGAGCCAGGCAGGAGGGAGCCAAGGGCAGGAGGGAGCCGGGGAGCAGCCCCTGTGCACGGAGGTTTTGGGTTGTGGAGGTGACATTCCCACTCAGGGGCTTTACCGCATTCTGCTTCTAAAGCTCGTGTGCCCAGGTCACGGGCCCTTTCAGGCTCCATCTCCTCGCCATTCGGCGGCCTCTGGGCTCCCTCTGAAGGGCACCCTGGGGCGGCGGAGCCATGGGCTGAGGAAGGAGCGCAGCCAGGTGCCCAGCTCCTCCGGCCAGTGGCGGACGCCCTTGTTCACAACACTCCAGCAAAGGCTGCGGGAAAACCTGGGGTTACGACCACACCCCTGCCCCTGCCCCCGTGTCCCTAGAGAGCTGCCTCCATGGCTGGGCTGCTGGCCCTGCTGGAGGGGCAGCAAGGGGTCCTCCTACCCAGTGACTGTCCCTGGCCTCCCAGGTGACCCCAAACTGGGCTTCTGCTGGGAAGGCACCCTTCGCCTGCAAGGGACCAGGCCCTGCCCCCACGTGTGTGCGGGAGGCCGCACCTTACCTCTTTCAGCATGGCCTCGCGCTGTGAACCACGCTGACCTGCAGCCAGTGGCCAGGAGGGAGCCGCTAGGGTGGCCCAGGTGTTCAGACTCGGGCTTGGCCTGTCCCCGTCCAGCCTCCTGGGCTTAGACTTGAGTCCACAGACTCACCTCCCCACGGACCTCTCCCCAGCTGTAGGAGGAGACTCCTGCCCACCAGCCCCCAGCGGCCCCTCAGTGTTGGACAGCCCCGTCCTTTCCCGCCTCCAGCCCTCGTCCCTCCCACCAGCAAGCCCTCGGGGCCTACCTGCAGGACTACCCACACCTGGCCTCTGGCCACCAGAGCCCTTACTGGCCTGTCTCCCTGCTGACCCCAGACCCTTCCGCAGCCGGGAGGCTTCAGAACCCCAGGCAGCCTGTGCCGTGAGCCCGTTGAAAACCAGAGCCTGCACACACCACCCACCATGTGGCTGGTAAAGGCGTCCATCTTTGGTGAAGTGTCTGTTTAAATATTTTGCCCTAAAAAAAAAAAAAAAAAAAAAAAAGCTTGAGGTTGCTTGTGCTCCTGGAGGGGCTGCAGTTTCCCTCTGGTTGGCACAGGAGCCTGATCCGTGAGCCGCGGGGTTCTCTGCTGCCTTGACTGGCCTTTTTCTTCTCTTAACAGTTGTGTCTTTAAAGAGCAGAAATTGGGTACAATTGGATGAGTCCAGCTTCTTTGGGACTAGGTCACGCATCTAGTGTCGTAGCTAAGGGATCTCCGCAGCCCAGGACCAGGATCCTCCCCCAGAAGTCCTACTTTTTGAGGTTTCAGACTTGGGGCTAAAACACATTTCAAAATAGATTTTTATATGGTGCAAAGTAGAGAGAGGGGCTTCAGGCCGGGCGTGGAGCCCCCTCCCGCCCTTGCTCTTCCTCCAACTGTTCTGGCTCTTCCAGTCCTTTGACTCCCAAACCTTCAGGGTCAGCTTTTCACTCTGGTGACCTGCCGGGGTCTGGGTCAGGCTTGCATTGGACCCAGAGATGAGCCTGGGGAGAACTGGCTTGCTGTCCACACTGTTGGGCCTTCGGACCTGCGATCACCGCCACTCCCCGTCGGTTGGGTCCTCTTTGGCCCTTCTCAGCAGTGGCCAGAGTTTGCAGCGTCCAGGTCAGTCGCTGATGGTCTGTAACAAGAATATACAAATAAGATGCTGTTGGCGTGTTGGTCCTGAGACAGCTGCCTCCCCAGATTGGTAGCTCCCTGATGGCCAGTCACCTCCCCGCCACGGAGACGAGGACCTGAGAAAATCAGCCAGAGGAGGAGAGGCTTACTGTGAGTCGGTTCCAGAGGAGTCAGTCCGTGGGCAGTTGGCACCATCATTTCAGGGCCTGAGGTGAGGCAGAGCATGGTCAGGAGGCTCACGGGGAAGCAGAGCTGCCCGCCTCATGGAGCAGAGTGAGAGGAGGGCACAGGGACAGACACACCTCCTGCCGTTCCCACCACCTCCAAGAGTCCATTCAGATGACTCCACCCGTGGGTTAGTCCACTGAGGTAGAGCCCTGAGTCCAGTGCCTTCCCAGGAGCCCTACCTCTGGACACTGCTGCCCGGGAACCACGCCTTCAACCCGGGAGCCGCTGGGAGCGTTAGGTCCAACCGTGACACTGGTGCTCACTGTCACTTTTCTGTAGAGTCTACTAGATTGTTTACATAGATGGCCTTACAGCCCGAATGTCACAGTCAGACCTCTTCGTGTCCAGTCTGAATGTCCTTTCTCTCTTTTTCTTACCCGGGAAGAATTTCTGGTAAAATATTCAAGGGAAGTGGTGAGAGTGGACATCCTTGTCCAGTCCCCTGTCGTCCAGTTCCCACGTTAGGGAAGGACAGAGCGTTTCCAGGCGTGTTGGCCTCGGGTGGTTGGTGACACCCTTGTGCTGTCTGTGGGTCCGTGCCATGCGGCCTCTCCAGCTCTCCCCGGTGACAACGGTGTCTCTTCTCTTCCCCAGTCATGCTGCTAAAGGTCTATCAGGTTTTTTGGTGGCAAAGAATGAGATTTGGGTTTGCCTTTATCTTCTCCATTGTTTCTATTTCATTGATTCAGACTGTTTCTTTCCATGTGCTCTCTGGACGTCTCATTGGCCTCCTTTCTGTGTTTTTTGGGTGGAATCTGGGCCCTGACTTGAGGCCACCCTTTTGTGACACACACACACTTAAGTAAGCTGGTTCCCCTGTAAGAGCTGCCTTATTCCCACAAAGCTTGATGGGTTAGATTTTCACTTTTATGCAATTTTGAAAATACTTTCTCATTTCCCTTTTGATTTCTCCTTTGAAACTGGCTGAGAACTTTCTGGGTTTATTTCTATTATTGATTTCTAGTTTAGTCCATTGTGGTCAGAAAGCTTTTATGAATTGAAAATGTGAAACGAATTGCGTCTTGTTTGATGGTCCACAACATGTCGCTGTAGTCTCTGGGTCTGTGACACCTGCTAGATCGCTGGCTGGAGCAGCGGGGTGGCGGGGCCACCTCAGTGGGCCTGGCACGTGGCTAGTGCTCACCGGGCATTTCAGGTGTCACTGTGTACGGGCAGGTAGTTCAGTTCCAAGTAAGGACACTGGGGACTGGCAATGTGGGGCTGGGGAGGGCCCTTGGGGTTGGGTGTGGAGCTCAGCAAGGGGAGTGGGTGTTGGAGCTGATGGGTGGAACAGAGATGGAGTGGACGTGAAGGCAGTGGTATGGGGGACTGCAGCTGGGGCACCTCCTAGCTCTGGGGAGTATTTGAGAGGACAGATGCAGGAGCCTGGCCACGTGGGGCCGGCTGCCTCAGGCAGGGTGGCTCCTGCTGCTTCCTGGTCCCAAGGGGCACCTCCTGTCCCCTGCTGGTCCTCTTGGGGAGGGCGGTGGCTTTTCAGCAGCTGTAACCCAGTCCTGCTCTACTCATTTCCAGACTGGAAGAAGCGGTTCATCGGCATTCGGATGCGGACCATCACTCCCAGGTGAGGGGTGCCCCCTCTGTGCCCCTGCTCAGGCTGCCCTGGTCCTGGCTGGCCAATGCTGGGACTCCTCCTGTGCTGCTCTGGATCCCTCCTGGGGCTGCCACACAAGTCACCACAAAGTGGGTGGCTAAGCACAGCCGAATGTGTTAAGCTCACGGTTCTGGGGACCCGAAGTCTGCTGTCAGGGTGTCAGTGGGGCCCCTCTGAGGGGCTCAGGGAGTAACTTTCCTGCTTCTTCCACTCCTGGTGGCTCCGGGTGTCCTTGGCTTGTGGCCACATCATGTCAATCCCTCCTCTGTGTCCATGTGGCCTCCTCTGTGTGTCTGTGTCCGAATCTCCCTCCTGTTTCTCTTACAAAATCCCCAGTCCCTGGACTTAGGACTCACCCTACATCAGGATGACATCATCTCAGGATCCTTAACTGATCCCATCTTCAAAGACCCTGTTTCCAACAGGGTCGCACCCTGAGGTCCTGGGAGTGCATGGATCTGGGGGATGCGCTTCTGCCTCACAGGCCACCCCTCTTTGCAGAGCCCCAGCTTTGCCTTCCCCACTGTTCGTGGGACCCCTCCCCACCTCCTTGGCCATGAGCCCCTGGGGGCAAGGACTGTGTTCCACCCACTCTACTCTGCCCCCAATGGCAGGCCTACCGTGATCAGTGCCCAGAAATACCCAGGCGGGACGGAGAAGTGGGCAGAGGAGGGAGACGGGGTCCACCAATCAGGTCCGAGGGTTTGAAGCCGGAGGACGTGCAGGCATCGAGGAGCTCTGGGAAGAACTGGGATACCTACCCCACCACACGGTCCCCAAATGACACTCTCCCTGTTTCAGGGGGTTACTCCAGGGGTGCAATTTGGAGGCCCTCTGTAATGGAGACCACCACACTGGTGGGCCTGCTCATGTGTCCTTCCTGTTCCTCTGTCCCCTGCCCGTCCTGCCATCTGTCCAGTCTCCTCTGAGCATTCCCTGACGGACGTGCCAAGTGTCTGTCCATCTCTCCTTTCTGCTCCCCACTTGTCCTTCCTCCTTCCATCACCCATCACCTCCCTCCCTCCGCCTCCTTCCTCCCGTGCACCCTCCCTTCTCCCCTCCGGCTCTGCCCTCTACATTTCTAATGGGGCCTCGCATTGAGATTTTCGTGGGGGACACGGAGTGCCCAGGTGGCAGGACAGGGCAGTGTGGCGGCCCCCGGGAGGCTCCTTGTCTGGCCTGGGCAGAGGGCGGGGCAGCTGCATGCCGAGGAGCTGGTTCCAGGGCTCGGAAGAGGCTTCACAGCTGAGCTGTCCTTTCAGTTTGGTGGAGGAACTCAAGGCTGGCGACCCCGACTTCCCGTCGGTCAGCAGTGGGATTTATGTGCAGGAGGTTGTTCCAAATTCGCCTTCTCAGAGGTAGGCTCTGCCAAGAGGCGGGGAGCTGCCTGGGAGGCGGGTGGCAGACCCTGGTGGCGGGGTGGAGCCTGGGCCAGGTCTCCTGCACTGACTTCAGGTGGCTGTGAGCTTCCTGGCAAAGGTGGCCCAGCATATCCTGGGGTAGGGCACATGGAGAATGGTATTCCGCACCCACTGGTTCCCTTCTGGGGAAGGGACTTCGTGGTCTGCTGGCTGCTCTTTCTCACTGACATGGTTTTTGTTCAACGGCTGCTGTTGAACCCCACCATGTCCTGGCCTGAGCCCAGGCCCGTGAGAAGAGTGCCCCTGTGTCTCTCCCTTTGGCAGAGGAGGAATCCAAGATGGCGACATCATCGTCAAGGTCAACGGGCGCCCCCTGGTGGACTCAAGTGAGCTGCAGGAGGCCATCATGAAAGAGTCTCCACTCCTGCTGGAGGTGCAGCGGGGCAATGATGACCTCCTGTTCCGCATTGTGCCCGAGGTGGTCGTGTGAGGCGGGCCACCTCTCCAGCATCAAGCGCCAGGGTCAGGCCCTGCAGATGGCAGGGATAGAGCCTCTCCAGGACCAGGACGGAGGACCTGTGGTCCTCAGCAGGGAGGACGCCACAGCCTCCCAGCGTCCAGAGGCAGAGTCCCAGGCTGGGCCTGGCTGGAGGACCAGATCTCAGCCTTGATCCCAAATCCCAGCACCGCAAGGGAAGTCCCATGCTCCCCTGGTGCACCTGCTCTTGAAGGTCACCTTCGAAGTTCTTTGGAACCTATAAAACTCCTGCAGTTCCTGAAGTCTACCCTCTTCCTCGGCTTCCTGCCTCTGCACCTGTCCATCCCTCTGTCTGAAATGTCCCCCTTGTTCCACTCGCCACCCACTTCAGGTCCCAGCTCCCACGTCTGCTCCTCCTTCATGAGCACCTCCCTCACCCTGTTGTCCAGTTCCCTTCTGCTGCAGTGCCCCCCCATGGTATGACAGGGGCTGCCCGCCCTGCCACCTAGACTCCCCAAAGGGCAGGCTGTGCCCATGACCCCTGGCAGGGTCAGGGTCCAACAGGGACTGGCCTGGAGCAGGTGCCAGTGAACAACCCTCTGCTGAGCCGAGCCCTGCACTGGCCACGAGGTGCACCCTCCCAGGAGCCCAGGGAGCCCAGGGAGCAGAGCATGAGGCACACACTCAGCTGCTGCCTGGAGAAGTTCAGCCCCAGGGGGCGGAGGGGAGAGCCGCCCGAGTGCAGGACTGAGCCGGCCCCGCCTTGCCCACAGAGCCTGGTGGAAGCAGCGGGCTCTGGTGGACACCTCCTCCCGTGTGTGCCTCCGGGTGTGTCTCGAGCTTCGCTGCACAGCTGCCCGCCCCCCGTGTGTTTCTCTACTGTACGGAAATTAAAGTTTACAAGCACAGAGTTGTCCGTCTGAGGGGTGTTGGGGCAGCCCACGCCGAGCAGCCGGCGCTTTCCTGGGGGCCCCGTGTCGCACACCTTGCTAGGTGTAGGAGCCTAGACCGAGGCGGTGGCCTCTGTGATAAGGACAGGTTTCTACAACAGCTAAGGATCGGGACATACCTGTCCCCAAGACCTCTGGTTTTGCAAAGGGTCTCAAGTCAGCCCATGGGGTACAAAGCCCAGCTCCTCCGCTGACTTCCAGCCCCAGGTCTTGGGCAAGAAAAGCCCTCGCCCAGCCTTGGCCTCTAGCAGTTTCCAGAACCAGGTCCTGCCGGTGCCCTGCATTGGCACCTTCCGTGTGGTGGGTAGAAGACCCCTCCCCTCCTCAGACTGTCCCCCCAGGGGGCAGACACTGACACCCGGCCATGTGGGTGAGGGCAGTGAGCTGGCGGAGGGCGGTATCTCCTCCCACGCCCACCACGCACACTGCTGGGGGCCACCAAGCCTCCGGGCCTCCCTCCTGAGACCAAGCAGTGCTGTGGGGTGGGAGGCAGAGCTCAAGTGGCCCTGGTGGCTCTGCCCTCTGAGCCGCAGCCTCCTCGGCTGTGGAGTTGATGCTGCGTCCTTGACGGTTTGGGGTCACCTGAGGATGAGCTGGATGTGGTGGGGACAATGACAGTGCCTGGAGGCTCTTGACCGGGGTCTGCCCGGTGCCACCTCTCGTCCCGCGCCCGCCCCCCCACGCCCCAGCTGCTCTTGAGTGCAGGGAGGCCGAGGTGGGGTCTGAGCCCGGCAGGCCAGGCTCGGCTCGGCTCTGACTCCGGCTGACCCTCAGGGCCTTCAGCTCTGAGCCTCTACACCAGGTGGCTGTGGTTACCATCCCCAGGAGGGAGGCCAGCTCTCAGACAGCTCACAGTGCCAGGGCTATGTGTCCATGTGTCCAGGGCAGCCCTGTTGTTGGAGGTGGGACTGTGGCCCCAGGCCCCCTCCTGGCCCCAGGCCTGGCAGCTCCCTCGGGGAGTGCTGACCTCCCAGCTGCCCCTCCAGCTGCTGTTGGTGAAAAACAACTTTTTCGGGGCTGCCTGCTGCAGCCAGAATGTTGTGTAACTCAGGCCCACGCCCCACAGGGCTCCGCTGTCCCCTGGGTGTACCCTGGGGCTGTAAACAGGGCACTCAGCAGCCATGCTGCCCCGACTCCTGGCCTCCGCTAACACCTGGAGTCCTGGGAGGCTGTTCCATTGTCTGCCTGACAAGGGGCACTGAGGCCCTGAGAGGGAAGGGCTCACTCCAGGTCTCGCATGGGCTGTGGCTGACCTCCAGGCAACTGCCTGCCCCTCAGGCAGCTGTGGCCACAGCTGCTGCAGGACAAACGTCCGCTCTGCAACAGGGGGACCTTCAAGAGGTCAGGACCTCCAGGAGGGTGGACAGCTTCTGCCCCAGCTGTCACCCTGCCAGTGGACACCATCCCCTCACCCCCCATTTCTTCCAGCACATGTTGACCATAGAGGAACATTCTGGAATGGTTCCCAGCTGAGGGGAGAGGGGCACCTGGGGCTGTGCCCAGGCTTGAGGCCAGCCTGGGGAGGGGCCGGCCGCTTTCTGCCAGAGAGGGCGCCGGACCCTCCCTCCCAGGCCCTGGTCCACAGTCATCAGGCCCTTCTGGCCCGGCCTGGCCCTTGTTCTCATGGGCAGCCTTGGGTTTGTACAGTGGCTCCCCTGCCTGGACCATTCTCCCAGGGCCGTGCTTCCTCCCCACTGACCTTCCCCTCCAAGACCAACTGAGAAGTGGCCCCCTTAGTGTCCGCTTCAACCCCTGGAGCCCCAGGATGTCACCATATGTGGCAAAAGGGACTTTGCAGATGGGATCAAGTTAAGGAGGCTAAATGAGGAGGTGATCCTGGGTCACACAGGGGCCTGGTGCAATCCCAGGGTCCTGAGGGGGCTGAGGGGTCACACAGAGAGGAGAGCACAAGGGCTGGCGACCACGGGGAGGGCCGATGGCAGATGGCCTCTACAGCTGACAGGCGGGGCAGGGTCGCACTGCAGCCACCAAGACCTCAGCCCAGGCGGACACTGCCCAAGTCCAGCTTCCACGACTGCAAAGAATAGAGCCTGCGGCTGGAACCCACAAAGTCGGTGATGGTCTGTCACAACGGCCCCGGGAAACTCCTGTGCTCTCTAAAACTTGTCTCAAACTTGAGTCCCTCCCGGAAGCCCGGGCCCTGCCTACGTCACGGAGCTGAGGGACCCGGCCAGCCGCGGCTCCAGGCATCAGCTGATCTTGGTGTTCATTCAGATCTTGAGTTCTCTCCCCTGGAGCGCCAGCTCCGTGTGCTCACGGACTTTGCTTATCACAGCTGTGTCCCCAGAGCCCACCAGTGCCCGGAAAATGGCAGGTGTCCGGGGAATACATTCTTCTTGGGACCTAGAAGTCCAGCTTGGTTCTGGGACTCTGGGCTCAGGCTGGCCACGTCACTCCAAACCAGACCCCAGGATGCCCGGGAATGCGGGGAATGCCAGGGAATGCCGGGGAATGCCGGGAAGCCTGGGGTGTGAGACCCAGAAAGGAGAGGGGGTGGCAGGGGCTGCACTTCACCACTGGGCTCCCTGAGGCTAGGGTCCTCTCTGGTTTGGAGGAGCAGCGTCCACATCAGCAACGCTCCTCCACTAGGGTAGGCTCGTGCTGTCCATGATACCCCAGCCACCTTCAGCCCCTCTCTGGAACCATGAGGCTCTGGGGACACCCAGACCAGGAGAGCCCCCAGGAAGTGGAGGCCCTGTCCTCTCCACCTCAGTCTCCACCTCTGACCTGCTCCTTCTTCAGGAGAAGAGACTTCTACTCCTGGACTCCGGGGCCACCCTCCCTCCCTCTAGAGCCCCTAACTGGGAGGCCCCCTCTTCCTGGGCTGCCCACACGCTCTCCGCTGACCGCCTGTCTTCACCCACACACTGGTCCCAAGCCACACTTACCTCCCTGTCCCCAAAGAGCTGAGTTCTACCTGCTCAGGTCCAGAGCTGGTGGCCACTCCAAACCCAGGTGAGCAGAGGTAAGAGGGAAGTGCCCAGCCCACCCGCGTGCACACGCCCACGGCTCCCCAGGACGGCTTGCTCCGACCCGAGAGCATGCGGGGTGCTGGGCCTGCTGAGGACTGGCAAGCTTGGGTGCTTTTATGTTTTCAAGGTCATTTTTATTATGAAGGGCGACACATGCAGAAAAGTACCCCAAGTCTGCTAGCTCGTTGCATGACCTCAAAGCCACCGTACACCCATCACCTGGGGCCGGAGACAGCGGGGGCCCCCTCCAGCCTCATGGAGGACCTAGCTTCCTTCCTCTGGGGGCTCCCATGGCCGGCAGCAGGACGTCCCCTGCACCCTCAGCCCTCACCAACACAGCCGCTCTGTCCGTGCTCCGCCCATCTGGCTTCCAAGCTCCACCTCCGGCTTGGAGGCTCCCCGTGGCGTGGCTGCAGCCAGGGCGACTCACAACACCACGGTGCAGAGCCTGCCCCAGGAGCCTCCCGCTGATGGGCACAGGGCTGGTTCTGAAGGGCTGCTGACCGTCATGGCTGGTGCCCTCGGGCAAGGTTTCTGCTGAGTGGGCGTGGGGCCTGCGTTCAGGACTGTGCACTTTCCGAGGGGGTCCTGGTCTGCACCCCGCCAGCTCTGGGATCCTACTGCTGCACCCACCAGCGCTCCCGAGGCCAGTCTTGGATTCATGGTGTTCCCAGGCAGGTGGTGGTGACTCGCGGGTTTCAACTGCAACTCGTGACTGGGAATGAGGTTGGGCGGCTTTTCAAGCATTTGCTGGTCATCAAGGCATCCAGAGGCGGAGCCTGTCCAAGCCGGGCTCAGGTCCCCTGCTGCCTTCTCTCCTTGCTTCTGAGCTCTTGGTTTACACAGAAAATGCCCTCCCCCACAGATGGACCTGGAGGACATGTACTGGTGAAGTAAGTCAGGCCCAGGGCAGACTCTGCATGGTCCACTCCCACCGAGCCCTAAACTGGGCAAAGGTGCAGAAGTAGACCATGGGTGGAGGTTACCATGAGGCGGGTCGTACGAGACGCGTTCCAATGGCTGCCCGGCCCAGGGCCCCGTCAGCACTGTGTACTGTGGGCTGCAGAACCTGTTCTGCTCTCTGGGACACATGGTGTAAGGTTGGCATCATTCATTTCTTAACCAGTGACAGAACTTTCTGGTAGAGACATCGGTTTCAGAGTTTTCTTTGTGGGAAGGTCTAAACTGAGGCTTTGGTTGCTGTAATAGATTGTCGGATTTCCTGTCCCCTCTGGGACAGCTCAGGTGAGCTGCGTTCTCTGGGCGTGTTCATTTCTAGAACGCAGGTGTGTAAACACGGGGCTGCACAGAATCCCCTTTTATGTCTTCACTGTCCTCAGTTTCTCTTGACATGGCTGCTTGCTCTTGTCTCTCTTTATCTGACTCAGTCTTGTCAGGGAATCTGAATTTTTTTTTCTTTTTCATTGGAGGGACAAGTTCTGTTTTGTTGATCCTCCCCTATTGTTTATTTGATTTCTAGTTCACTAATTTCTGCTCTTACCTTTTTTTTTTATTCCCTCTCTCTTACTTTCTTCTTTAGGATTAATTTGCCTCTTTAAAAAAATCATGCTTAAAGGAATAAATTTGCCTCTGGCACAGCTTTGGCTGCATCACCCAAGTTCTGTTCTATTTTTTGTTTTAACCTGGAAACCCTCTAGACAGATGCTGCCCTCCTGGTCATTCCAGAAGTACTAGAGTCTGTATGAGAACACAGAATCTGTAACCAGGTAACCTGCGTTTGAATTTCAGCTCTGCAACTTTCTAGCCATGACTGGGGGACTTAACTTCTCTTTCCTCAGTTTTCTCATCTGTCAGATGGAGTTAATCTTAATTCCCTCCTGGTGACAAAGTCACTAAAACACTTAAAGTAGTTCCTGTCACAAGGAAAATGTGTGTCACTGTGCCTGGCAATTTTTTTTTTTTTTTTTTTTGGTACTGGGAATTGAACCCAGGGGCACTTGACCACTGAGCCACATCCTCAGCCCTATTTTGTATTTGATTGAGAGACAGAGTCTCACTGAGTTGCTTAGTGCCTCGCTTTTACTGAGGCTGGCTTTGAACTCATGATCCTCCAGCCTCAGCCTCCTGAGCTGCTGGGATTATAGGCATGCACCCCGGTACCTGGCAGTTTTTTTAAACATATATCTAACAACCTATATATAATGTGCTAAATCTCAACTCCTCTGGAACATTAATGATTTTTAAGTCACCTGCCAGCAGCCAGAGTGAGCCTCTTCTCTCTGGAGTCCACTCTGCCATCCTCTGGGGATCTGCCCCCACCTCATGTGCTGGTCCTGGCTTTGCTCCAACACAGCACTGAGGGACTCTGCCGAGGAACATGGGACCCACGTGGTGTCCCCTGACAGCTTCAGCCTGCCCTGGAAAAAGCTGGCCTTGCCCTGTGGTGCCCGCAGAGGGTCTCCTGCAGGCTTCACTGAGGGTGTGCAAGAGGGGGGCTTCCTCCCCCTCAGTGACGACACGAGGGGCCTTCTTTTGCGGAGCTGAGTTTCCCTTGGAAACTGGCGTCTGCAGTCCAGGAGCTGGGCTTATCTCTGCCCAGCAGCTCAGCTCGTCTGCACACCGCTGCCAGATCCACCCCTCTCCTCCTCCAAGCTCCATGCCACACCCCAGGTGGCCAGCCTGGAGCTGGCTGTCCAGATTGCCCCAAGCCCCCGAGCCCCCCAATCCGCTCCCTCAGCAGCCCCCCCCCACTGCCAGCTGAGATTCGTCTCCCAGAAACCCCTGAGCCTTGCCTGGTGAAGCCTCCCATTCCGGCCTGGACACCTGTCCACATCCTTTCCTTTGTTCCTCTCACTGCCCTGTCCACGGGTCGAGGAGAGAGGGAGGGAAATGCACGGTCCTGGACTGGCCACTGAAATCAGGTGCCTTTACATTTATTTCTAGATTTTTCTCTGTGGCCCATCTCCACAGGACCTGACTTGAGACTGCAGGGAGAGGCACTTTGCAGGAGGGACCACAGGCTTAGAAGCAGTCCTAGGGCTGCTCTGCCATGCTTCTCATCTCTCTGAGCCTCAGTTTCCCCTTCTGTAAAGTGGTACATTCAAAATGCATGGTAGTCTCTTTTCCTTTGCCATAACAAAATACCTGAATCTGAGAATATGTAAAGACAAGAGGTTTATTTAGCTCGTACTTTTGGAGTCTGGAAGTCCATGATCAGATAGCCCCCTGACTTGGGCTCTGGTGAAGTCCTCGTGGTCCATGACATCATGGTGGCAGCATGCCAGAGGGGAGCGCATGGCGAGGCAGGAAGCCAGAGAGCCGGGAGGGCCAGCCTTGCTCTTCCATAACAACCCCCCCATGAGAACGTCCCCCAGTAGTACGTGAAGCCTTCCAAGGGCAGCCCCCCGCAATCTGACAACCTCCCACGAGGCCCCGCCTCCCACTGCCACCCTGGGGACCAAGCCTCCAGCACAGGAACCCCGGGGGGAATGCACCTCACAGAGCTGTGGCTGGGGGTGACCTCCTGCCTGCAGTGTCCTGGGACAGTGGACAAGCTCCCACCCCCCACTCCCAGGGTGGCTCCCGCCACTGCCCAGATGTCCAGGCCCACTCCAGCCTTGGGTCTGGGTGGCACTTTCTAGGAGTGGCCCCTGTGACATGGCGGATGGTGTGCCCAGGGGGCCCTTGTGGGGATCTGCTCTGAATGACCATGCCTTCCGGTCCTGACCGTCACTACATTTCGAGGTGACTTGAGCACTGTCCCAGCTTGGACAGCTAGGCGTGGCTCCAGGAGCAGGCGTCACCACAGGGGTCAAGTTCCACTCACCTGTCCCCGTGGAATCCCACCCTTGCCGCATTTGAACGGCTTCTTCCCAGTAAAAGGTCCAGCACGCGCTCCTCTCTCTTTCCAGGACCCCTAGGGTCAGAGGAGCCGCCACAGGACCCAAGGAGAAAGGTCTCTCTCTCTCTCTGTGGTTAAATCGTGCAGCCCAGTTCACCTGGAGTGACCCTGAGGGTTCAAGTCGCGGGACGGCAGGCTCCGAGCGCAGTGAGAGGGGCGCCTCCCCCGTGAGCCCAGACCAGCTCCCCAGGGCTCCTGGCCCTCGAGCAAGGCCACAGGACTGTGTCCTTTGGGTTGGTTGCACGCACCTGGGACTCTGGGGGCCAGTGCTTGGGCAGGGCAGACTCCTGCCGCTCACAATGAGAATGTGCTGCTGAGGGCTGTGTCCCCGCGTGGGGGTGGCCTCTGAGCGAACCCTGACCAGCCAGCATTGAGGGCCTCGACCCCGTCAAGGGCGGGACGGGGCCCTCGGTGAGCTTCACAGACACTGAAGCTGGGGCCACCTTCAGACAGATAGGATGTCCTGACCCAAACCGTCCCCCGGGCCACTGAGGGAGAAGTCACCAGCCCTGTCCCCGTGTGTCTGCTGACGCTGGGGCGGCCTTCCTCCAGGTTGGACCTGCCCTGCTGCCAACAGTGGAGACCAGGGGACACTCCTTTCTGGGCTCACTGCTCCCTGACCCTCAGACACAGCCTCCTCCCCCTCCTCAGCCCTTGGGGCCCTTGAGATGGGTGATCAGATGCTGGGACGCTCTGGTCAGTTCACCTGTGCTGGACTCTCGGGCTATCATCTAATGTTTCCGTCCCCTCCACAGTTGGTGCTCCCCCAGCACGGCCGGCCCTCGTTCCTCCTCCATGCGCCTGGGCTTCCAAGACCAGCCTCACCGCCACCCGGCCACCTGGTCCTCCCCCTGCCTCGCCCACCATCCCCTTCCCTAATGGCCACCCCTCCCCCCTCCTCGGCTTTCCCTGTGCCGTGTCCCTACCTGGGACCCTCTTCCTCTACTTCCTCTCCACAGTTGCATGGACTGGTCAGATGCCAGGACTGGAGTGGCCGTGGGGGACAGGTGTGTGGAGAGAGCAGATCAGCTCTTTTGCGAGGCCTGGGCGTGCCCAGGGGTCAGCCTTTGTGCACACACCGAGGCTGGGTGCAGGAGGAAGAACAGGAAGTCTGGGTGGGAAGAGCTGGCTGCTGCCCTGGGCACCTGGCACAGTCCTTGTGGGAGCTAGGGACACGGGGTGGGCTGACCGGCAGTGTCACCCACATAAAGGATGAGGGAGCCAGGGCATCGATCCTCCAACTCCTGTTGCTACTGGACCTGTGCGTCCCCGGGGGGGGGGGGGCAGGGAACCACCTGGGCCCACCACAGGCCAGCGCAGCAGCACGTGGTCAGGCCTCGCGGACGGCGTGAGGAAGGCAGTGGGCGGCACCCCTTGGTCTTTCACTGAGTTGAAGGACGCTCAGTCACTTCCCTTGGCCTGTGTCCTGCCATCAGAAGCCTCACCTGTGACGACCCCACACTCCTTAGCGGGGACCCTGGCCAGGTCTTCCCCCGCGGGGTCCGCCCACCCCAGTGGGCAGGTCCAGGGCTTCCCTGTGGTTTGGGGGCTGGTGGCAATGTTTATATGTTTAAAAGGTTTTAAGAAAGAGGAGGAGAAGGGAGGATGGGAAGAAGGAAGGGGCAGGAGGAGAAGAAGAGTAGGCGCAGAGTCTCAGGTGCCCAGCCTGGCCCTCGGCAGGGCCCCTGCTCTCCCCACAGCTCGGCCACACCACCGGCACAGCTGTCCCCTGGGTCTGGAGTGCACTGGTGATCCAGAGCATCCCAGGTGGGGCCCAGCAGCCGCCCAGCCCACCCCTCTGTCCAGCCTGGTATGTCCACCGGTGTGGGCACCTGCGCCCGTCACACACAGGAGCGTCCTGCAGTCCAGGTGTGAGGTGTCCCCCACAAGCTCACGTGTGAGATGGTGCCGGAAGGTTCCAGGGTGAAGTACCCAGGCTGTGAGAGGCGCACCTTGGCACGCAGCGGAGTCCTGGTTAGCTCCCCGTAGGGACTCACTGGGTGGACTGCCGGCAGCCAGCCTGTGGCTGGAGGAGGTGGGTCACCAGGGGCGTGTCTTTGGGGCTTCTATTTTGTCCCTGGGGAGTAAAACTGTCTCTCTCTGCTTCCTGGTGGCCATGTCCTCAGGACATGTCCTCCTCAGCTCCTTCTGCCGCGACGTTCCCTCACCTGGGCCCAGAGCCAGCCGTCTAGGGACTGACCCTCTGAAACCCTGAGCCCAAAGAAAACTCCTCCTCTGATGGTTCCCGTCTGGTCTTTTGGTCACACCAGCAAAAAGAGGTGACTACAACAAGCCTGTGTGTGAGTTCGCGATCGCCCCCAGGACACGCGGGGACACAAGGCGCGGGCCTCCTCTGCGGGTCTCCAGACCCAGCGTGGCTGGCCGTGGGCTCCTCACGATTGTCTCTAGGTCAGCCGCTCAACGCCCTGACGGGGTCCAGAATCACCTCCTGGGAACACTGCAGGTGTCCACTGGAGATGAGGGGAGAAGCCAGACACTGTGGGGCTCGGCCACAGAAAGCCTGCACCTGGGCGCCCCTGGGAGCAGTGCACCAAGGGACAAGCCGGGGACAGAGGACACAACCCGGGGTCCACTCACAGGGGGTCCTGGAGCGGTCGGGTCCTCAGAGACAGCAGACGTGGGCCAGGGGAAGGGGCGGGAGTATCTCGTGGGACAGAGCCTCAGTTTAGGAAGATGAGAAAGTTCTGAACACCAAGTGGGGACAGTTTTATAACAAGGCAAATGTCCCTAAATGCCACTGGATTGTATATTTAAAATGGTAAAGTTTGTTATATGCATTTGACCACAATTTTTTAAAGTAGAAGAAAATAGCATCCCGGGGGCCAGTGGTCAAACAGGGAGGAGGAGCCTGAGGTCGAGGTGTGGCTGTGTCACATGTCGACATAAGCAATCCTCATGGGCCTGCGTACGCCGGGCTCCAGGGGCCTGATCTTTGGTCTGATGCCCACAGCCGCCCATGTGGAGCCCAGCCTGTGTCCTCGGGGTGTGCGTGAAGGTGGGGCGGGGCCAACGGAGCTTGTCCCCATCAGCTCACCTGAAACCCGGCAGTGCGTGGCTCGCTCTCCACACCACCTGGGCTTGGGTCTATGTCCACAGCCACACTGAGGCTTCCGCCTCCCCGTGGGTCTCAGTTCCCCTGTAGAGCGAAAGCCTCACTCCCTGGTGGGTCTTGTGAGCCTCTGTCCTACCCCTTTCCTGAGTGCGCGGTCTGGGCTGGGCTCCCTGGCCCCAGGGCTTGGCCTGGCTACCATCTCTGCTCTGGCAGAGGAGCCATGTCCCAGGACCCCCCTCAGCTGGGACCTAGACTTCAGCGCATGGGACCTGGGGGACATTCAATAGCCGAACCGACTTGAATTCAAGTCCAAACCCAACTCACTAACTGGTCGGGCAAGTTTCTTGCCTTCTCTGGGCCTCACTTGTCTCGCCCTGAAGTGGGCTAGTGGTCATCACCGCGGGGTGACCATGGGGAGGGAGGCGGGAAGCAGGTGGCGTGTTGCCAGATACCTGTGGGGGGAGCTCGCGGGGCCCAGCTGGGGGCGCGGGTTTTCATTGACGTGGCCAGGGCCTCCGTCCTTCAGCGTGGCTTCCTCACCTAGGGACAGGGCGGCAGTGCCTCAGGCTGCTGGCTCTGGCGGGCGGATCCTCTGCTCTCTCCCACTCTCTCAAGTGCGACCTGTCCCGCTCACCTGGGAGTGGCCAGCGGTGTGCTGCGGGACCAGGGCGAGCTGCTGGGCATGCATTTCTACACTGTATTGGGCAGGAGGTATTCAGGACATCCAAGGGCTGTGCGCTGACCTGGCCTCTGCCAGAAGCCTGTCATCCACACAGAGCCCTTTTCTATTTTGGTGTCATAGAGAGGGCCTGTTCAGGGCTGGGATCCAAGCTGCCCGTTATCTTGACAATGTATTTGCTTTTAATGCCAAATTGAGCCTAAAAATAGGCCTTGGAGGTGGTGCCAGCTGGGTTCTGCTTGGCCAGTGGAAGCCCTGGCAGCTCAGGAGGGGTCTGCTGAGCATCCCTGGCAGAGCCGGCTGGCCTCCACAGACCACCATCTGCCCCAGGACCAGATCCTACCTCCCCTGGGAAGCCATCCTTGACCCTTCGTCTGGGGTTCTCTGCCTGTCCCCCCCTGCCATCAGTTGATGTGCCTGTCCCCACCAACAGACTGTGCACTCCATGTGCTGGGGCTGCATCTGTCAGAGTCACCCTCATATTCCTAGCACATGACCAAGGAATGCGCTTGGCTCAGGGGAGCTTGGATTTGAACAATAATGGGGCAACCTTGGGGTTCCATAAGGACTGAATGGGAATACTTGGGTAAAGTAAAACTAAAACTCTGCTTGACCTTGGTAAGTCCCAAAATATGACAGGCCATCACCACCACCACCACCATCACCATCATCATCACCATCACCAACACCACCACCACCATCACCAACACCATCACCAACACCATCATCACCATCACCACCACCATTATCACCATCACCAACACCATCACCAACACCATCATCACCATCACTTACACCATCATCACCATCACCACCACCATCATCACCATCACTAACATCATCATCACTATCACCACCACCATCATCACCATCACCAACACCATCATCACCATCACCACCACCAACAACAACAACACCATCACCATCACCATCACTACCACCATCATCACCAACACCACCACCACCACCATCACCACCACCAACAACAACAATAACACCATCATCACCATCACCACCACCACCATCACCACCAACAACACCATCACCATCACCATCGCCACCGCCATCACCATCACCATCACCATCACTACCACCATCATCACCATTACCAACACCATCACCACCACCACCAACAACAACAACAACACCATCACCATCACTATCACTAACATCACCATCACCACCATGACCAACATTATCATCACCATCACCACTGCCATCACCACCACCATCACATCAGAGTTTCTCAAGAAGAGCCCATTTCATAGCTACATCAGGGGTGAAGAATGACTCAATATTTCTTGGGGCACAAAGGAGAGAAGGCACATCCCAGTCTTTCAGCAAATGACTGAAGGATCCCCAGTCCCCTCTGCAGGGCCCACTCGCCTACCCCAGCCTTCTCTGGAGAGCTGTCGTCTCCTCGGCCTCCGCAGTCCTCAGCCCCACCTGCAGCCCGAGCTTCCCAGGTAGAAGCTCCCTTGTCCTGTCTTGCAGAGGCGTTTTTCCTTCCCCATGGCCATGAAGACCTTTCCTGACTCCAGCAGGTCACGGTGTCTCCCAGAGAGTCCCAGAGCAGCTGTGGCTTCCATGACACATGGTCACGCACGGCCATGCTGGGCCCTCGGCTGAAGGGCCCTCATGCAGCGTCTCCAGAAGAACATGGAGCTCTGGACCCCACCAGCCTGTCCTTGTCACTTGGTGCATAAGTGGAGGTTCCAGGAAAGATGGACGGTGCCGGGCACAGTGCCCACTGTGGCAGTGCCCAAGTGCCAGTTATCATGCCATCTGGGAGAACTAGCCTGGCACGTGGAGCAGGCCCTTGGCTCCCTTCCCTGTGGAGCGGGCGTGGTAACAGCGGCTCTGAGGTTTGCAGGAGGTGACAGGCAGGCAGAAGAAGGTGACAGGAAGACTCTAGAAAGGCAGTCTAGCTGGGCTTTTGTGAGGGTCCCCGGATGGTCACAGTGCCCAGGGTGGTGGGGCAAGCCCGGAAGTGTCCTGAGACAACCCTGCCAGACAGGGAGACCCACGTGCAGCCGCCGCCCCTTCTGGGTGGACAGTTGCTGTGTCCACCCGGCTGTGCTCTGCTTCTCAGAGTCTCCTGGAAGCAGGAAGAGCTGAGCCCAGGTGGCTGCTGCCCAGGAGAGCCGAGGAGTGGCAGCACTGCCCGGCTGCGCCTCTCTGCCGATGCCACACTCCTGGCCCCGCGGCAGCAGCTTGCTGGTGATCGAGTGGGAGGTCCCGCCTGGACATGGGCAGATGCCATACTGCAGCGTTTTGTCACCTCCACAGAGGCAGAGGCTGGACACCACCCACCCGGCTGCCACTCCCATTCTGCCTGCTGTGTCCACACAGGGAGGAAGACGCCTCTTCCCGACACCTTGGGGCCAGAGCCACACCCCAGTCTCCAGGGACAGGAGAACCACCAGGTTCTGTTGTGAGCCTCTTCCCACCAGCAGGATGAAGGTGTGGGCTCCGACTCTGAGCCTGGGAAATCAAGTGCTCCTAACCCGGAGTCAGGGCCCTGAGGACTTTCTGTAGGGTGCGCCGCAGGTAAGGGCCTCTGCGCCCCTGGAGGGGGCACCTGCAGGGTGGCAGCTGGGCTCGTCCATCTCCCAGAGGTCAAGGTGTCCAGCCCCTCCCGCCAGCTACCCCCTTCGAGAACCCCATCCCCGAGGAATGAGCGTGGAGGCCATGCTCCCAGGAGCGCCCACCAGTGAGGCCCTGTGTGGTGAGTCTGGCTCTGTGGCAAGAGAGCGACTTCAGGGCCCGCAGTAGCCTCTGGCTCTGCCACATGAGGCCCCTGTGGGGGCGGGCACTGGCATAGCCTGCTGTACAAGTGCCCAGGTGAGCAGGCGGTTCTGGCCAAGCCCCGCCCGGGCTCCCCGGGGAAGGGCAGGCCGGCTCTGAGCGCGTCCCTCAGGAACACCCTCACCCGGCCTGTGGAGGCCGTGTTGACCACCGTGGTGTGGCCAAGGCTGGCAGGTGTGGGCCCGTCACCTGATCCGTCCTTCAGACAGAGCCTGGCTGCTGCTGTCGGCAGGGTCCAGGTCCCTGCTCTGGGATGCGCGTTCTGGGCGGCAGAGTCTGTCTGACCACTGTTACCATGGTGACCCCGTGTTGACCACTCACCATGTGGAAGGCATTGTGCTGAGCGCGGCTGTCCGTGATGTCACTGAATCCTCAAGTGACCTGGAGCCATGTTTGTGTTCCACTCCTGTGGATGCTCAGGGGCGAGGGACCTGCCTGGGACACAGCGGGAAGATGGGGAGCCCAGGCTGTGGCACCAGGCACGGCTGGCGACCCCACACTGAGCCTTGCCTGCTTCGCAGTGACCAGGTCCCTCTCTACTCAGGGTCTCTGAGCCACTGCGGGCTCAGGCAGGCTCAGCCTTGGGCTTGGCACATGCGGGCGGCCGGTAAATATCTGCTGAGTGAGCCAGCCCCGTGTCCTCTCGGCCCGGCAAGGTCTGGCCCGGAGCCTCGCCGCTGTTTCCTTCATCAAGTCCTCCCAGCCCTGCTCCGGCCCGAGGAGAAGAGAAGGGTGAGCTCACCTGTCCACCACGCCCCAGGGCCTCAGCAGGTGTGGCTCACCAGGTGACACTTCTGTGCACACATGGGCAGAAACAACCGCTCGGTCCCGAGGCGGCCACAGGAGGCAGGAGCCGGGCCTTGTGGTGGCCCGTCCTTCAACAAGCTCGCCTGCTGACGGCCCCCATCATCCACCCAAGGGCCACCTCTCTGCCGGGCAGTGACCCCGACCTCAGATCAGACTGAGCTTGTGCTGGCAGGCAGTGCCTAGGGGGTCCTCTGCTGGGAGGTGTGGGTGACTCTGGTTTCCTCAGGCTCCCTGGGGCCACCGGAGGTGTGCGCCTCAGCCTCCCAGGGCCCCACTGCCCTGCGCCCTGAGTGTCCGCAGCCCTGAGCTGCCCACCGACACAGCCCCTTCCCTGACGCCCCCCACCCCCCACCAGGGCTTTCTGGGATCACTTGGCCCCGATCGGCTTATGGGAGCCAAACTGAGCCCTGTGCACAGGCGGGAAGTGGCAGAGAAGGAGCGTTCCCTCTTCTCCAGCCCCCCGCCAGGCAGAGGGAGCCCAGAGGCCCAGGGTGATGCCAGGCCAGGCCTCGAAGTCCCAGCAGGGTGTGAGGCAGGCCCCTATCGCCCCGGACCTCCCCGGGCCTCTCCACCGTGGGCTCTGCAGACGGGGTCCCGACTGAGAAGCTCAGCTGAACTCGTGACCAGACCTGCTGCATCGTTCACTTTTAAAGCGTTCAAACATAAAGGACCCAGCTGGAGACACGGTCCCCTCAGCCCATCTCGGCCGTGGAAAATGGGAAGCTGCCCAGGCCCCAGACAGCCCCCCGTCGGAGCCCTGGGACACAGGGGGCTGCCAGATTCCAGGAAGGAGCCGTGTGACCGCCGTCCCGGTGACACTCCTGGCCCCGTCCAGGCCGCTCTGGAGGCGCAGTGGCTGGACGCGGCCCGGCCCTCAGGCCCATACGCCTTTCTCTCTGCAATTTTTCCTTTAGAAAAAATTTCACTGTTTTTTTTCTAATGTCGAAGTAGCACATGTTCATTGCAGAAAAATCAGGTCAGCACAAAGAAAGACGTCAGCGCTGCTCGTGACCCAGCACACGGTGGCAACGGGGCACTGAGGTGTGGGCCCACATCCTATCTGTCTCCTGAGAGCAGCAAAGTAACTTCCCGGGTTGGACGGGGCTGTTGAGCCTAGGGGTGGGGGGGCACTGATGTTCCCAGGGCACGCAGTCTCCCTGCCCAGCTGCCGGGCTGCCTCCCAGGCCTTCAGCTCCTCATCTGCCCACTGCTGCACCCACAGCGTTCTGAGGGTGGGTCGCCACGTGGCGGTCACATCACACCGCGGAGCGTTCCGTCTGTACGCACAGACGTCACTGTGGCCCAGCTTCCCCGTGGGTGGCACAGCGCTGCCCCGACCCGCCGTCGCCGTGCCTCCAGGCTGTCCACCCAGCCTCAGAAGCACAGCTTCCTGTCCTTCACTGGGACTTTGAAGAGTTCAGCAAAAGCTCGGAAAACTGCTCTCGTGCC